TCTTAGACTAAAATATATAGGATTGTATAGTAACTCGTGAAATACATCATAAATTGTAGTAAGAACTCAAAAATATATCAAATTATGTTTTTTGTCGAGTAATACAGTAGGTAAATATTTGTCAATTATTGGCGAGCATGCCTTCATTTTGAGACCTCAATCATGAAAATCGGTCGTGTAGAAGAGCCAAACGAACTCGGAAAAGAAAACCCTAAATTAACTCCCATAAAAACATAAGGGAAGCAATTTTGTTTACGTGTAGGCCGAGTGGGATAATAGATAATTATATGCCGATGCTTGATGGAAAATCTGTGCGTGCATTTCTTCAGTTTGATACCTCAATCATGAAAATCGGTCGGGTAGAAGAGCTAGAACTCGGCAAAGAGAACCCAAATTTTACTCCTATAAGAAATACATGGAGAGCAAATTTCGTTTACGTATAGACCGAGTGAGACTATAGATAATTATATGCCAATGCTTGATGGCAAATCTGTGCGTGCATACCTTCAATTTGAGACCTCAATCATGAAAATCGGTCGGGAAGAAGAGCTAAACGAATTCGGAAAATAATAGCCAATTTTTTTTAAATATTTAAGACAGTGTACAACTAAACAGCTTTTTTAATTTACTCCTCGTTTTTCCATTCACTATACATTATGTAACTTACTAATTATAGAGCCTATATTTTATTCATTATTTAATGGATATAACAACTGTTAGAGTGATTAAACATTTTAGTTTTGAACTGGAAAGAATATGCTGCACTGTCGAGTTCTCTCAAAAACACGACGCAGCAATTAGGTGAACGATTCCATGAGGTGATGCGTTCTCAGCGACCTAGTGAACGACCCCATTAGGTGATTAGTTCTCTTGCCTGTGTCTGTGAGGGTAGGAAGAAGGGTGCTGGCCGCGGGAGAACGGGAAGAAACCGACGCGGTGAGGGAGATCTCCCTCAGTCCTAATGTCGCACCCCTGAAATTATCCGCATGGCTGCGCCTGCGGACCCAGAACGGACCAGGTCAAATTCAGTCCTGTTGTCACACCACCCCTTCAGGTTGGAAATCGTTCGCTGCGCTCACTTGTTTTCAGGTTAGCTCGTTCGCTACGCTTACTCGCCTCCAGGTTGATGTTCGTTCGCTACGCTCACTCACCTTTTGGTTGCAAATTAGCTGTTGTCATAAATTTAAAAAAAGTCATCTCTTTTATTGTTTATAATACAGTACTTAGATAAAGGTTTTTATGTTTTAATATTTAACATTGGAGAATATAAACGTTGTTAAGTGCACAGGTGTGCAGCGATTGGGGTTTAATACATTTGGACTTATTCAAAAGTAAAATAGTTTTCTGTGCTGCAATCTGTAGAAACACTGTGGCACTATTTCAAATCATGAATAATGCTAATACAGAATGTTGTGATTATTCAAACCTACAAAACAGTTGGTGAAAGTAAACATCTGCTTTTAAATTATATTTATTTGTAAACATTGTAGATCAAAAAGTCTGACATTGGCCCACTTAAAACCCTCTGGGGCAGAGCCCTTTTGATAGATCTGCACCAAACTTCACTCAAACCATCCTTGAAAGATGCTTAATAATGCCTGAAAGTTTCATTACAATCTGTCGAGTGGTTTCGGAGTCCATAACGTATATACATACACACACACATACATAGTTCCTCTTTTATAGATATAGATATATATATATGTGTCCATCCGCACGATAACTTGAGTAATTTTTGTCCGATTTTGATAAAATTTGGTTTGAACGTGTAAGGCAGGATAACCTTGAATGAGTTCGCGAACCAGCATGATCGGACTATGGGAACGGGGGATTAAGGGGGGTTTTATGGGGTAAAAATAGGTTTTTCCCATTTTTGACCCTAAAAACACAAAATTTCACAATTTCTTTTTAAACCATTTTGTAGAGCTTAAAAAAACAAATAATTTAGTATATTGAAGCGTTATTATGCGCCTAATTGTTACGGAGAAAATTCAAAAAAATTGTAATTTTAAAATTCCCATGTTATTCTTACGGAGAATAAGTCAACTGTTGTAGTTTGCTTGTTTATGAACATATTTTGATCAAATTTGGAAAATACATTAATTTCTTACTAAACCACAGTACCTTTTAATATTTTACATTAAAAAAAAACTTTTACCTTCCCTGTTTGCAGCAAACCTAAGTACTCATTAAACTAATTCTGTTTAAATAGGGAATAAATGTGATATTTTTAAGGAGACATTTTAGTTTAAATCTAATCAGGCAGATGGAAATTCGCTAAGTCTGCAGGTTTGCTGCGGCGGGGGTATTTAATTAATCTGCCATCCTCATGCCTAAGAATTGAATGTATCAATGGTCAGAATTACACATAGTATAAATATGTCAACTCTAAATATGTCTTTAAATTTGTTTCCAAATGCTGAATGTTTACAGCTGTTATGTTAAGCAAATTATATTGTACTAAAAGCTAGCTTAGAAGGTAAGCGTCGGCTGCTAGACTTTAAAAAAATTAAAACTTAATTTCTAAAAAACTGGGACCCTTAATTATTATAATTATGGCTTTGACATTCCCTAGTTCTCAAAATTATCTTTCTTTCAACATAAAAATAATGAAAATCCGTCGACTGGTTGATTCAGAATGTGAATAACCTCATTTACGTTTTAATAATATATATGATAGTTTGGACAGGTTTCAACCCTTCTGAGGCGTAATACATTTACACAGTTTATGTGTAGACTACATTATAACTCATAAAATAGTTCTACAATTAAATGGATCTCCTTTTACAAACGTATATAATAACCAGAAATTTTCAGATCGTCGTTGCGTGTATTTTATGCCACATATTTTGACGAAAGGCTTTTCATTACATAAACTATACCTATTTACAGTGTTGACCAAACAGTTGGCAAGAAGCATTAATAGATAAGCTATGTACCAAATATGATAATTTTAGCTTTATTCTAATTATGACAAAACACGAAGTAACTAAAAGCGAGTTTTGTTGGTGTAGTAAGCGTTGCAGGAGGTCTACTTTACACTGAATCGACGTTCACTTTTATTGCTTTTGATCTTCCGGCACTGTTGACTCAGCGAAACTGAACTTGTATTTTACCGTATTTCGTTATATGAAAACTGCTGTTGCATTAGGTCAAATTCCCAATAAGTCAATTGCTTTAACATAGACCACGTTTTTAGCTCGGACTGTACTATTTGACTTACTGTGATTTTTGATCTACAGACACTGCAAACATTGTAGTTTTTGACCTAGCGGCACAGGTATAAATTATTTGATCTTCCGGGACTGTTGACTTACAGCAACATTCCCTATAGATTTATCATAAACTAGCTCTAGCCTGTCGGCATTGCCCAACACACTTTTGGGTTTTTTACCGCTATGGACCCACTGAAATTGTCCCTTCGCTACAGAATTACTTACTCTCTGTGGAATGACCTACATAAAATACTATTCCTGTTCTATCTCCTTTCACTCATAATTATTCCCTTAAACCAAATTTGACAATGGTACAGTTGGTTTTTTTGTAACTTTATTGAAAAGTTTAGATAGTATGAGCAAAAATAACAAAAGATCTGATCAGCTGATAGATATGATCTTATCTTGGTAAAAAGCTGCTGGTAATTGGACGAGTACACAGGTTTGCTATGATACAGTGTGTTTAAAAAGTCCCGGTACAGTGTAATATCTTCTTTACCATAGATAAAATGTAGTAAAACCTGGCATATCAATAATAACCATAAAAGTCTACTCTTTTAAGCTACTATTACTTTTTTACCTCTTAAGCCGGGTTTTCCTAGGCGCGGAATCGGCGAGCGGAGAGAGGAACGCGGAGAGCGGACTCCACTTGTCTTAGGCAATTTAATGTTACTGTTTTCCTAGAAGCGGAGCGGAATGCCATGTTAATTTCAATTCTGCTCTCCGCGTTCCTCTCTCCGCTCTCCGCTTCCGCGCCTAGGAAAACTCAGCTTTAAGGGGGACGGACGGCCCATGATAGGGTTGCCATATCCTCGGATATTACCGGATTTTGATGTCCAAAATTTAGCTCCGGGGGATGTCTGCAAAAAGTGAGAAATCTCCTCTTTTTTAATCTCTATTAAAATACATTATAAAACGGCACTTTTGGAATAAAATAAATGTTTGCGTTTGCTAATATCGTAATGCAATAACTGAGAAATGCAACTCTCGTACTCTCTACTAACGCTTTTTTATTCCTCGGTTTCACTTTGGCCAGTAACGTTTATCTTTATCGTCTGTTTCATTGCTCCCAGTCCTTCAATTTGCATCTGCCGGCCGGTCCAAAGGTATACGTATTCACTATTAAAGCCTAGCAGAAAGAAAGCGTTTTGTTACCTTTGTTCGGTTATTTTTTATTTTTAGTGAGATGTGTTTAGCGATGCAACATTTTATATTTTCGTGTACCGTTTGAATATTGACATTGTGTAGCACAAATATTGAACAGAAACGGTATAAACTAATAAATATAAACAAATTACGTCAACGGCCCAAATGTCTATAGGCTAATAGCGGTAACAACTGGATGTTTTTTGACAGTTCCATTTAAATAATAACAAAAACATGTTTACTTTCCGGCCAGTGTCATCATTTTGTTTATGTTTAAGTTTATGACCCATAGTTTCGTCATAATATTTTTGCTACTAGGTACGCTATACAATTTTGCTAGACCGATAAATTTTATCCACTATTATAGTGGGGGCCGCCAGCTAAAATCTCCTCTTTTTTGTACTTTACCATATGGCAGCCCTAGCCCATGAAGAGTAATACATAATTCTTAAATAGCAGCACAAGTCAAGATTTGGTATCAAATTAAAGGGACAAAAGTTATTTAGTAAATCACATTGCCGCAAACCTGAACTCAATCAGAAAACCGAGTAAAAAATGGCCTCCGTTAAAATATCTCTTGAATCTGCCATTTTGAATGGCTGCCATTTTTTAGCCAGCTGTTATTGTTTTGGACTTTACCTAATTATTCCCAAACCTTCTTCCACGTCCTCTTCCTCCTCTTGCAAGGCTTCTCTGCACAACTTTTCTGCGATTTTCAGTTTCTTTTCTGCATCAGCATACTTTCCTTGAGAAATAAGTTGGCAAGCTGCATTGTAAGCTAGTTCATAAGAATGCTCTCTCAACTCCGGGATGTTTTTTGTCTAAAAAAAGTTACAGTATAATTTAAGTATAGTTTAATGTATACTTGCTTGATGTATAAGTATAAATTTTAAGTACAACTTTCATTTTACCTCACTAAATTCTACATTTACTTTGCTTTCATTTTAATTTTCAGCATCAAGGCGTGTCTCCCTGTCTAAAAGTAATAGTAATAATAGTAGTAATATAATAATAATAATAATAATAATAAGTAATCTTGTATTAATTAGATAACTTAAGTATGTAAATTTTAGGTTAACCCATTGACACTGAAATACTTTTTTATCTCTCTATTGAAAGATTTTGGTATGTCCTTTATTTAGGTCTTTTATCAGACATGTATTTCAACACAATATAGGCTACCTGATTTTAACCTTTTAATAAAAGCCAAAAAAGAAAAATCGATGTCCTCTTCCTTTATAGGCCTACCAAAAAAGACAGGTGTTGCTTCTTTATCCTTATTAAACTCACTAACGCCGTCAACTTCAACCCTAGCACCATTTATTTAAGGTAGTCCCTCCACTCCAGCTAGTCCACACACTAGCAAACTCAATTAGGATTGCACATATACAGGATTTGAACCCGTGCATGCAGAAATACCTCAACAATACACTCGTTAGTACAATGCCTTAGCCAACTGAGCTACCATGCCACTGTCGGCCGAACGGGTCGATTACCAGTATAAGCACACGACAACACTAGCGCTCACAGGTTGGATTCAACAAATTACCTGAACGCCAGTGGGTTAATCAATATTTGTAATAAAGTTTGGCTATCTCACTGTGAAATGTGGTGGCGTGAGATTAACCAATTTCAGCATGGTTTGTAATGGTGAACATTTCATTTATCTATATTAATTGGTTTGTTTAATTTTTTAGCATAGTTTTGACGTTACCTATTGTATTTATTACTAAATGGTACAATAAATCTCTTGAATCTCTTGACATGATGCTACACATGTGAGTTATCGTCAATGGGTTAATGTGCTCATGAGAAATAAATGGCATTAAATATGTAGATTACATGTATGGCTACTCTTTAATTATGAGCTGCATATGAACTATGCTCAAGAGCATTTAACCTGTCATACTCTTAAACAATAACAACAAAAATGTACACAACACTTACGGCAGCACTTAAAAACTAAAAAAAATTTAATCTTATGAAAGCTGTATTCACAGTTAAGCAGATCCCAAATATAACAGCCAGCTGCCTCTCATAAATAGCCAGTTAGGCCTAATGCCATTACTTCATAAAACAAACTACTGTAGTTTAAACAAGGGCGTACCCAGGATCAAAACTAAGGGGGGGGGGGGGACAAGAGCATACTTGAAAAAAGTTGCTGGGGGGTATTGAGGGGGGGGGTATTTTCCCTCTGAGAAAATTTTAAAAACAATATACAGAAATTACTAGAGTTTTTTATACTATTTTCATACATTAATATGACAAACATAGCTCGATAATCCAGCGTTTATAAAGTCTTAGTTTATAAAGTTGTTTTAAGTCCGTCAATGGGGTCAGGCCAGGTTGCTTAGCTTTACAATACACATTTAACTGTATTTTTTGTGTCCATGTCCATACCAACTATTCACATCCATTTGTAACACCCGAAATATATGGTAAACTATTTTGAACAATACCTGATATGGTATGCCGTAAGAGCAATTTTGTTTGTTACATTATTGTTGAAGGCAAATGAAAACAAAATAATGTCACAAAAGAGAGGTTTATATTAATTCATTATACTACAGTAGACTCATTCTTATCTGGACTCCTCGGGACCGAGGCCAGTCCGGATAACGGTATTTTCGGTTAAACCGACGTCCCCAAAATCTTATTAAAACAAACCGTTTAAATGCATACTCTATACAGTATTTGACTTAAAATTAGGAGAGCATTGAATTTAGACATGTAATCACTGGTCTCAAATCTTTCCCACAAGAACAGTCGTTTCAGTACTGCACACTTCCTACCGATCTAGTCCGGTTAAACCGATGTGCTGATAAAAGTTACCCGGATAAAGCGATGTCACTTCTACCAAGTGTGGTCCGGTTAAAAGGTGTCCGGATAAGAGGGAGTCTACTGTACACGAAGTTGTTAGTTTATTTATACATAGCCTATGGCAAGAAATTGGTCTGTTTATTACTACTGTTGCAATTTTTATTTTATTGAAGAATAACTCAGAAAGTAACGAAAAATAGATAACATGTGCCAAAAATTTCATAAAAATCTGAAAACTATCTTACTCATCTTTTCTCATACTATGATAACATTTTTCTAGAATCTCAATTTTTTATACCTGGCTTCTAGGAAGGGGGGGGGCAGCTGCCTGCCCCCTGCCCCTCTCTGGGTACGCCCATGAGTTGAAATCACATTCTTTGCAGTGCTTGTCAAGAAAACACCACGAGGGAACTTACTGATGAATGAATGAATAAATTATGGATGCTTCTTTTGAGGAAATTCGCTGTTTTACCATGAAAAAAAAAATGTTTTATTACTTCGATTACTTCATAGGTCATGTCATAAAAAATGGATTTTACTTACTGATCCATCAAGTAGCATATTTGCGATGACAGCCGAAAGATTTGTTTCTCTCTCTTCCTCATAGTCATCATTTGTATTTTTTATAATATCGCGGTAAACGTCAAAACATTCTTCATAGCTGCAATAAAATGAAAAGAATTAAAAATTTGGTATTCCATTATAGTCAGTTGGAGATAGTTTAAAGTTTTAAGTTTAAGTATAAGCTACATGTATATGTTTTATTTTAAATGTTACAAATATACCTATCTGACAAAGTAGTATATGCTTTGGCAATCACAAGTTTGTAGTTTTGCTGTTGTTAAAACATTAATAAAAGAAGGTGTGCATTTCCTACATCATCCTACTTGTTCTTTTTTATATTATAAACGTAGAGTAAGCTAAGCGTGATCGGAAATTTTACACAAGAAAGAGGAACATTTTGTTGATGACTGATGACAACAACTCATGCCACCAGGTAGACCACAATAAATAGCCTACACATAAAAAAACAGGCAAATCAGTATCCAAAATCATTAGTTACACCTAATCCAAAAAAGCTAATAACAACACAAAAAGGTATATATACTATTCATTTTTGTTCCAAAAGCCATTTTTGTAGGGAATAATTTTTTTCTTAAAAAAGTTAAACTTTTTTTTAAGTAAAGTAACACAAAAAATGTCTAAGTCGTTCTGTTTATCATTTTGGAATTTAGTTAAAGATAAACAGTAAAACAACATCTAAATATGAAACAAAACACTATTTTTTTAAACATGATTTTTAAGGATCTAAAAATATCACATCAAAATAACCGAAAATTTGGTTCCATGAACATACGTTTTAAATCATCATCTTACCTCTCAAGTCTGTATAGTATTTGAGCTTTCAGCTCCTTCAGTTCATAGGAGAGATTAGGTGCAGAACTAACAGTTTTGAAAGCATCCTGAATTTGATTCAAGCGATATTGACAATAAGCCTTCTCCAGATACAGATCTCTGTAACAGATAGGCTATCAATTATTACGCATACATCGTTTAGACATTATATCATTTCCTTTATTTTACAAAACAAATGTAAAGATTTAACTGCAAAATAAGTAGCCTATGAAAGATCTACTTTACTTACAGGCCAAAATCAAAATTAGGATAACAAGATATCTTTAAAGATTTCTTAAACTTTTTTCCTTTCACGAACACAAATTAATAAACAGTTTACTTATTCTCCACAAAGATTACATGAAAAATTCAAATGTAGGCTACAGTTAAAAACAATCTTTAAACATTAAGTATACAACAAGGGGCCATACATCAGTGGCCACAAGTGTTCCGTAAAAATGAGTTTACTGTATATGTTAATTATTCTTTGTTACATATTTTAAGACTTTTGACAACCTCTTTGGAGTGATTGATGTGCTCCTCCTACGCCTGATGATTGCCGGGTTGAAACGAGTCGCCGTGATTGGTGACATTGATTACATGACGGGTTAAGGTTTTATAACCTCTAGTGATATTGAACACCAACTTACTGGTATAGATAACATTTTATTACCATACCTAAACACTTAAAAAAAAAAAATTGAAAGACACTCTTAGACTAGGTACAAATACGGTAACAATATTATTATAGGTTTTTTTTGTCCTAGGACGCTAGGCACGAGCCTGGGATTGTTTTTCACATTACTTCAGGCTAGACTTAGGGGTAATTATCACTTAGATAAAATCCATTGGTGACTTGGCGGGGATCGAACCCGGGACCTCAGGAACTGAAGTCCCGCGCTCTAACCACTACGCCAGCTCGCTCCCCCATTATTATAGGCTTAATGTTATCGTACTTGTAATTACTTACGAGGAGAGTTTTGGCTGTTTGTTGATAGATTGTAACGCCTCTTGAAATTTGTCTTGTTGAACCAATGATACTATCTTGCAGTGGAAAGCTTTTGTTTCTTCAGGGTAGTGATGCAGCACTAAACATTTGTTATTAGTAATGCCTTGGTAACAATTAATATCAGATAAATGGAATTAAGATTTCATATAATGAACCGTTACTACGATTTCTCTGCTATTTATTGGTAACTAGAAAAATAGTGGAAAAAAAGCACAGTGAAATAGGCTGTAATATAATTTATAAACATTTGCTGAAACCCTTTGAATTGCCGTAATGGTTTTTGTAGCCAAATTTTATGAATTTGTAAAGTAAATTTGTGAACTTGTATATTAAATTAGCCTAGGTACCTAACTTAACTAATAGGCCTAGAAGTAAGTAAAAAGAGTTTTTAGCAAATTTTATGATATTTTAGCTTCAAATAACTTAAATAGTAAAAGTTTGACCAGGAATGCAGACAAAATGTGTCTGCCTTTATTTAATAAAGGCTGGTGGATGGTATATGAGCATCGAAAACTGGAGGTATACTCTGATTATCGAAAGAATGTGCCTTGCGGATCGGCCGTGTGGCGACCGAGTTTAGGTAGGAACATTCTATTTCACAACTTGTGGAAACGTAACACAGAAGGTTAGAAATTTCTAATAAACGGTGTTTAAATAGGTAGTCAGTTAAGCACGTTTTCAGCGCATGTTTTTAATATTTTGTATCTTATTCCGATGAATTAATATTTTTAGTTATATTTGTAAAAACACGAATTTGCAAAATTTTAATTCCGATTGATACTGTTGGTGTGCGTGAAAGAAACAACACAAGTCCTTCATCTCTTGACCATAAAGGTATTACGCTGCGCGGCCATATTTATCCGCAAAACGGACATCAATAGATTTTAGTGTGCGCAGTTTGTCATTTTACACCCACCTATTATATGACCAATATTTGTTCCTAGTAATACAATTGCAAATACATTAATCTAACTGTCAAAAAGGGTTCCCACACTCCAGACTGCTCACCTCGACTAGGTACTTCCTTCACCACTTCCTACGTCGTGGACCTGTTTTCCTCCCTTCTCATAGCATTTTGTTATTGCAGGTATATTAATCTATCTGACACAAAGGGTTCCCACACTCCGGAATGCTAACCTTTACTACTTCCTTCACCACTTCCTACATCGTAGACCTGTTTTCCTCTCTTCCCACAGCACTTTATTATTGCAGGTAGGCTACATTAATCTTCCTGTCACAAAGGGTTTCCACACTCCGCATTGCTCACCTTTGCACTTTCTCTACCACTCCCTACGTCATGGACCTGTTTCCCTCCTTTCGCATAGCATTTTAGTATATAAATAGACTAACATCTTTGACTAGGTACGGTATTTAATATTCAACTAGTGTCCCTGTTGCTCGAATTCGAGCAATTGCTAAGTATTAAAGGCGTTATTTTAAAACGAATAACAGTCATAATTTCTGATGACTTTAAAAGATTCAACTCAAAGATTTTGGAAATACTCATGATGACATAACAGATTGATATAATCACAATTTCTTGTAAATATCTTATCATTTTTTTAAAAGCTGATCTTGTTTTTTAGTGTTTTCTAAATAGCCTTACTCGTAGCCGCATTAGGTTACCCATAATAACATTATAAATAAAAAAAAAAAAACATTTCTATTTCTTCTCCTTGGTGGTGTTCTATGACTTTCCTATGGTTCCATAGTTTGCAAATGGGCTCTTTCAATGATTAATAAGAAATGCAGCACAGTGTAAATTCAGTTTTCTTTTTAAGATATCAATTTTTCCAGGCTCTCTCACTTTTTACCATTGTAATATTTACGCCAACCCAAATTCAAATAGTAAACATTTCATTTCAACCAAGTCAGTAAATGTTTGTAGCAAACTGTTAAATTAGCAAACTTATTAACGGTTTACAACATATGTTCTTCTTCTCACTTTTAATTTCTGACAACAGCTGGAGTTTCATAACAATTTTTGTTTCCCATGTTAATCTTATGGAGAAATACGAAACTTTAAAGGGCCCCAGGGCCTCACTCTCTAATTATTTCCCTAAAAAGAAAGTTTCCTGCACAACTTCACGTTACACTCTTTCGAATGAGACCAAAAACATGTCAATCGGTTCAGTAGTTTCGGAGGAGTAATTGTCACAAAAATCCTGCTTGCGTATTAAATAAGTATAGATGCCAACATTAAATTGAATAAAAGCTGCTTAGTTCTAAATATATACATATTTTTAATGTAAAGGTGAATTTTAATACTGAACATCAACGGTATATAACTGCCGACTGATATTGTAAAGTTCAATTTATTATTCTGAAAGTTGTGAAATCATAATGATATATAGCCTATTCATAGACGGACTCACAGACAAGCGGACAACTTTTCTCCGACTCCGCTATACATGATAGGCCAACATAGATTCGTTCACTCATCTATTATGATAATAAAACTGAAACACTACTACGCGCGCGGGGGTACACTAGACCCCCCCCCCCCCCCCCAATGAACACAGTACTGGTAACACAAGCAGGCGCGTGGGGGTATGTTAGACTCAAGGTGGTGATAGCAGGTCAATGACTCGGTCAAGACTAACAAGTAACAACCCAGCGGCCAGATGATAGCATAGACTAAGCTATTTTAGGAAGCTACTGTTATGCTCACAAGGGTTGCCACCATACTTAGAACTATGACAAAATTAGCATATGTGGGGGCATGTTACACCCATACGGTACTAGTGATGTGCGATTGTGAGATGTTTGAACAATCGAAATGTTCCGCTTATCGATTGTTTTGATTCCTTAGGGAGAGGTTTGTATTCGTTAAGCCTAAACGCCTGTCTGTATTTGTCTACATTGCATCGGAGTTGTTACGAGGATGTTAATTCTTTTTCTAGATTATTTATTATAGAATAGTAGACTATTATGTAGGCCTACAACCATAGACTATTGTCAAAGGTAGGCCTACAACATATAGGCCCTACTGCTGACAATTGAATAAACATTTACGTCACTCCGTCATGTCAACAGAATAAAAAAAACAATTAATTTAAAGTAAATAAGAAAAGAATTTTTGGTAATACTGTTAACATAACATTTACGAGAACGTTTAGTCTCGTTACAAACATTTTGATTTAAATACAAACATTTTGTTCCTAAATATACTGTCTCATCAATTAATAGTCGAATACGGTAGTCTTTTAATGAGTGGTATGAGTCACTATTCCATGGATAAACCCTCCTCAGCTGCACTTTACTTGACGTCCTACACTCATTCGAATGAAAATATCGATCGATATATCGATTGCTTCATTCGATATATCGTTTGTTAGTTAGGTAAGGATAACCTAACCTAACTAACCAAACGATATACTTATCGAATGAAACAATCGAATGAAAATATCGAATCGAAAAAAAAAAAAAATGGAATGAGTGTAGGACGTCAAGTAAAGTGCAGCCCCCTCCTCTGTTTTGAATGAAGTAAGTTAGACCTCTTATTGGGGGTCAATCCCCGGCAGATGCAATAAAAATTGAATGATAATAATTGCCGATGCTGTACTTAACGAAACAATCACCATGATCATCTTGTTAAAAAGACACTCGGTAAGGAGTTCTTGCTTCTCGGTTCTCTTTTAGACAAATACGAGATAAGCGTGCTGAATCGAAACAATCGGTACAAATATCTCGATAAAACCTCTCGCTAAGCAAAAATACTTAATCGAAATGTCTCAAGAGGTTCAAACATTCGAAACATTTTGATTGTAACATCTCGCAATCGCGCATCACTAACCCATACCCGTTGCGTTTAAGGGTTAAAAATGCCTAGCCTACCTATTTATAACTACAATGAAAATCATGCTCACTCACCCTTGTTAGCTGATTTCACAGCTCTTTCAAAATCATTATTCTGACAAAACTTGTTTAGTTCAGCATATAAACTTCCCAAACTAATAGAAGTTTGGGCTGTCATTTTTATCAAGGCGTTTCTTGTCTCTATACTTTCATAAGTTTAATAAAAGTAAGGTTAGGAAACTGCTGTTCTATCAACAATACCGAACAGATTGAGAATGGGGCAAGTTTATTCCTCTGGAGCTGCAGAGCTCCACAGATGCTGCTTAGTGCTTAAGCTAACAATACAAGTATATTACTGTTAGGATAATACATCCATTATACTAAATCACATAAAATATTCAACCTAACTGTATTCGCATTAGTGCATTAATCAAGATCAAGAAGTGACAGGTACGGTTACGGTAACAGACGACAGTGAAGTGACATATGATGACGATGACGACAACTAAAATCTAAACTAAACCGAGAAGTGAGAAGTGACAAGTCGACAAAAAAAAGTGGACCCAGCAACAGCAACGTCAGCAACGGTAATAGCCATTGTGATCCATGGTGGAAGGAAAACACATAGGTGTGCTATTCCCACAAATTCTGACGTCACTCGGATTGCAAACAAAATATCACCTGATTGTGACTGTCAAATTAGTATATGTATTTGTTTTGATTTGGTTGTTATTGTTTTTATTATTATAAAAACAATAACAATTAAATAAAAACAAATACATACTAATTTGACAGTTACAATCAGATGATCTTTTGTTTGCAATCCAAGTGACGTCAGAATTTGTGGGAATAGCACACCTATGTTTTTTCCTTCCACCATGATTGTGATCAGTAGTCCTCACTGAGTAGTCCTGCATTGTGATAGGATGAAGGCACGGCCGCCTTTAACTCCAGGCCGCGGCCTTCAAAGTGGCAACGTCGCAAGTGGTGTTGTAACAGCTGTTTTGTTTGGAAGAAGCTAATGGTATTTGTGTATTTACGAAAGATAGGTTACTGGACTATGACAATATTGACTCCGCTTAAAAATGTACAGATATAAATTTTTAATTCATATTGTTTCGGTTTTCAATTCTGTATGTTTTATTTTCAATATCCTTATATATAATACGTGAATGCGATTACTACGAAACACTACTCTTCTATTAATAATGGACGGATTTTTACAAACGAGGTGTCATAATTAAGTATTTGTTGTGTAGACACCCCCTTTCAACAATTCCTGCAATAAACGTCCTAGGGCTTTGCCCCACAGGCCATCAAAATCCCAATGTATTTCTTAAGGAAAGATTTGGTTTACGAACACTAAACAGACGAATAATGTGAATTAATTGCAGCTGTTCATAATAATACACACAAGCACGTTTTTTTCAGAGTGAGTTCGTTTTCAGTTTCGATAACTAGAGTGGAGTGATTGATAACATTATCGTTGAGTAGACTTTTTTCGGAAATGTATGACTGTCATTAGTTTTGAAATAACGCCAGTAATAAGCAATTGCTCGAATTCGAGCAACAGGTGCACCAGTTTTAATACATTTATGTTCATAAATTTAAATCAATAAAGTGAAAATTAATGAGCTGATGTCACCTATCTGCCATGTTATCGTATGGGACGTCTGTCGCTAAACAACACCACTTGCGACGTTGCCAACTCTACCAGGCCGCGGCCTGTAGTTAAAGGTGGCCGTGGGCAACGTTGCAAGCGGTATTGTAACAGCTGTTTTGTTTGGAAGCAGCTAATGGTGTTTTGTGTATTTACGAAAGCTTCGTTATTGGACTATGAAAATATTGACTCAGTTTTAAATTTAAAGATATAGATTTTCAATTCATATTGTTATGGTTTTCAATTCTGTATGTTTTATTTTCAATATTTTAATTACATTTATGTTCATAAATATAAATTTAAATCAATAAAGTGTGAATTAATGAGCTGATTTCACCTGTCCGCCATGTTATCTTATGGGACGTCTGTCACTAAACAACACCACTTGCGATGTTGTCAATTCTACCAGGCCGTGGCCTTTAGTTAGAGGTGGCCGTGATGTAGGTGAATAGGCCATTAATCTCTATGGCCACAGCCACGGCCACCTTTAACTACAGGCCGCGGCCTGGTAGAATTGGCAACGTCGCAAGTGGTGTTGTTTAGTGACAGACGTCCCATAAGATAACATGGCAGATATAGGTGACATCAGCTCATCAATTAACCGACTTCCCCACTACCAACAAAAGGAGGAGGTTCTCAATTTGTTTGTGGCGATGTTTTTTTTTTTCTATGTATGTTCACCAATTTATCTGTGACTCTTTTACCGATCCGTGTGGTTCCACCACCAAAATAACCAGGAGAGTTTCTATTTGGTACCTTATATATTATGTTTAAGTATAATATTTGTTTCGGTGAAAAATTCTGAAAACCTTAAATATTCAACATTTATTTTGTTTACATTTGTGCAGATTGTTTACATTTGTGCAGAGAAGGCAATAAATAATAATAACATTCCTACAGCTGTTAGTTGAAACCATTTAAATGAAGCTACAGACAATTCTTCATGAAACAGTTGCTTCATATTGATCAATAAACTATTTCTTGCCATGGAGCCTAAATGAATTACATTGAGAAAAACGCATTTTGTTTTGGTTACTATAAAAAATGTATTTTAACGTTTGACCTGATTTGTGTATACAGTAATTCTGTTTTTAGTATTGAATATTCTGACTTACAAAAATATTTATGTTTCAGTGAATAGCTGTATGATATTGACAATTAAAGGTGTATTGTGAAAACCAAAGCATTCGTAAAACAGGTCTAAATATAAATTAAATACAATTATTCTTTACACGACCTAAGAAGTGTGAAAGTGCATAATCGTCAATTGTCTTAAAAGTGTTAAATATTTTTATTACTAAACATGCATTTGCAGATGTGGAATGTTTATTAATATTCTCTACCCAGTTACTATAACATATCAATACTATTATGCCTGCTTCGGAAAGTCCTAGAGGAAGATGATATTTGCAATTTCGACTAGGCTATATCTTGAGCAAACAAAACCCCCTACATGACTTACACCACTTTTAGCTATCTTTCATATCCAATCTTTCATATAATATTTTCCAAAGGTACCATACGTGTTAACGACCAATTTTCCACTTTTGATAGATTTTTTGGTGCTGGTAGCTGAGGAATAACTTTCATATTGTTCCAAAAGGCTTGAGACGTTACTGTATTTCTTTTTATAATGTAGAAGTACACCGATTGCAGGAAACAATGATGTCTGACATTTCAATGTATCTAGAATAGACAATTCGTTTTTCATTAGGCCTAATGTAATGGACAACTCTTTCTTTCTTAAGGAATATCTAAAAATGTTTATTTTCATACCCATTGATTATGTAACCTGAACAGGTGACTCAAGCAGTTTTAAAATAATGATTGTTCTGTGGAAATTTTGATTGTTTCAAACAGTTTTGCTTATCAAAAAACCTCAAGTAATTAATATATAAAAAATATACAGTCACTAAAAATCATGAAATAATTTATTTTTGTAAAAAAATACAACCGACTTCAAACGCTCTAAAAAGAATGAAATAATTTCAATAAAGTAATCTTTTGTATTAGGCAAGCTCACGTATTTCAAGGGTATTTACTCAGGGGAGGTATAGAAGAGGCTACGATGACAGCTGAGGGCTTCTTATTAGCTGAGGAAACGCCATTACCGTAACAAAACGATCTATAGCCATCGGCTTCGGTGGTTTATTGGTTAGCGTGCCGGGCTGATATACTGTAGGTCCCGGGTTCGAAACCCGCCGGTGGCATTAACTTTTTGTCCAAGATTTTTTTTATTTTCAGCAAGTTTGGTTGGTTTGGTTTGGTTATTACAGTTTAATTTTATTATTAAGTCATTATAAAATTTTAATTGAGCAATTTCTAGTTTTATTTTATAAACAGAATTATTTTTCCGATTACTATAAACTTTTGTTATATTATTTCTTTATCAGCAAGTTTGGTTAGTTCGGTTAGGTTATGATAGTTTAATTTTATAATTAAAAATTAATAAAATTGAATTTTAGGCATTTATAATTTTATTTTATGAACAGAACTATTTTTGCGATCAGTAAACCTTCATTGCCAAAGTGCTTTTTACTACAGCGCTGTTCACGGAGGAATTTTGAACTAAATGCCTCATTTGTACCTCCCCTAAGTCAGACCCTATTTCAAGTCGGCGCGGCTCAAACTGCAAATATGATTGAAATTAAATTTAATATTGTGTATGTATTTTGAAAATCAATAAATTGTAGCTGGATAACATAAATATATAAAACATACTGAACTGTTTTGTTTATATATTAAAGGAAATATTTTCTTGTATTTTATGTTTACTTCAGAATAAATGGATTATGAAAATAACACACACAAAAGTTCTATATGAATAGGAAAATAATTTAGTTTGATATTATGATTACTGGTACGTTACTTTTCCAAGTTACAAACATTTAAATGCGTTATAATCTTTTTAAAGATACTCGTTAATGCCACTATAATGCTGATCTCTTTTGGTTCAAAGACCAAATCTGGTCTGATTACGGTAATAAAATAACACTTAACGCATAGGTAACTATGAAAAAGACATGCAGATTAACACCTTTAGTTATAGATAGTCACCTGCAATATGGACACCCTCTTTCAATTTTGTATCAAAATCATCATAGAGCCGCGCCGACTTAAAATACGTGAGCTTGCCTAATACAACAGTTTACTTTATTGAAATTATTTCATTCTTTTTAGAGCGTTTGAAGTCGGTTGTATTTTTTTACAAAAATAAATTATTTTCACTTTATTGATTTAAATTTAAATTAATGAACATAAATTTATTAAAACTAGTGCACCTGTTGCTCGAATTCGAGCAATTGCTCAGAGTCAGTTGGCAGTCGAGTGGCACTGTTTTTGGCAGTTTCGTGTCGTTTCAGTTCAGTTGTTCAGTTCAGTCAGTCAGTCTCAGTCAGTAGCACTAGCACTTAGCACTGTCACTACACACACACTACTGTCAGTCAGTCAGTAGTAGTACAGTACTTACTTCACGACTTCACTTACACTGTCAACTCTCATGCCTGTTGGAAGTTGGAATAAGTTCTCATGTGAGCGCAAATTTTAACATTTTTGAATTTGAAATCTGAGTAATAATATTATACCTTTTTTAGATTAAAAACTAATTATTTATTCATATAATTCCAACGTTTTCACATAATGTCTCAACTTAACCTAGCAGCTCATAGCGATCAAGAGAATCAGCTAGGTCAAAATCATCGAAACATTAAACAATGTGAGTAAATTTGTTCATGGCAGTTGATAGTCGTCGTAGCTCAATGAGTGAAACTTGAACTTACTATAACTTAAAATATACCCAAATCGTTTGATCATTACAGATCAATGGAGGACTTAAAATAGGGTCAAGTTTGATCTGAAAATTAACATTAAATTAATGCTTAACCTGCAAAAGAAGTCAAGTAAAAGTTATAACTTGTCTTGTTTGATCTTGTCATAAGCAAAATTAAATGATCTCGAGCCTGTTAAAGATAAGTTGGGCACTCTTTTCAAATAATTGGTATTTTTCCTATAGGCATAATTTCGGCTAGGTCTAAAAGTATAAAAAAAGTTCATTAACCTCACATTAACTAGGCCTATATTACATTTTTGTTTGCAAAAATCATGTATAATCGTGATGATACCAGCTAAGCCCATTTTGAGGTAACTTATCATACCAACCACCAAGCGTCGTAACCTAAGTTATTGTTAGACCAGAGGCATTATTAGTCTACCTAGTTTTGCTGGCAATTAACTTAGCATATTCCTTAAATCTACAATGGCTAAATAAAAATGTAATTTTGATATGTTTACTAACAGTTGTTTTTTGCATGCTGAATCTGAAAATGCAATCAGTTTTTGTCAGAGAGATTCCTAACTTAAGTGGCTGTAAAACGATGGTTAAAATTAAGAATCAAAGGTTTGTGGTGGTCTGGACGTGTCCGTATGTGAACTGAGAACTGAGGAGAGCAAAAAGCTGTTTATACTCAACTTAATGCGCAATAGAATAAATTTGTTCAGAACAATTCATTTGCAGACTAATATGTATTTAGGTATGTGGGGAAGATAGGTCAGGTTTTATGCGGATTCGTGACTGTATTAAGTGTTTTGAAGTCAGGTTGGATTAGGAAGGTTAAATATTAGGTTATAGGCGAATGAACCGACTTATTAATTTATGTTACCTCCAGACTGACTGTTTTTGCACAATTGAAATAGTGGGTGAAACACAACAAAATAATAAACTATTTCAAAAATGTTAAACCATTTCAGCCAAAACAATTTGTGATCAAAATTTTTTTGTCAATTCACCACTTCTAGGGTTAAAGCGATTAAAGAACGTAATATTATAAAGATAGTGTGCCATATAAAAAAAAAAACCATATGGTACTGAACTTCAATTTGTAAAGGAGCATGTCAGCATTTCAAGAAGTTATTCATATTGCAGGCATGAATCTTTCCACGCTGTAGTTAGGCTATAGGCCTACATAAGTTAGGCCTACCGGTACTTTTGGGGTGTCTAATGTATTTCAACATTCTATTGGGCACTTAAATCACTGATTTTACAAGGGGTCGGGAAAGTCGCTAAAAAGTAGTTCTTAATTTTAATTGAAAGACATTCTAGACATAGGCCCTAACTTATGACATTACTTAGGCCTGACATTGTAAAAAAAACAGGATTTTTTAAATCTAACCCTATACTAAAATACTATACTAAAATATCTCTTAGAAATAAACAGTATATAGCCTACGAAAAACTTCATTTCACCCTACATATTTTGGGTCCTAAATTGTGTCTAAACTTATTAACTTAAGGCTTACAAATAAAATAGGTACAACTCTTTAACTTAGTCTTAGGCCCACTTAGTGCTTCAAGTAATATATAGCCTACTTTGATGAGTAAATTGATTCAGTGGTTTTAATCTTATGGTTTGAGTAAAGTTATCATCATCAGTTCTAACACAAGGTCCTCATTTCAATTTTTCAGTTAAGCTATTGCAATCCAAAACAAAGTCTTAATACTAACTTATTATATATGTAATTCATTTAAAAACTTAAGTTTAATGGTGATTTTTTTAGTTGGAGCTTCTGACATCCCTCGATCGACCAAGAAGAAAACAGCTCTCTCTGATGTAAAAAATATTCTGGCTCAAAGATGTGTAAATTCGGCTAAAAAGCCCTTAGATTCTTTTCCAAAACCAAGTGTTTCCAGGAAAAATATATTTGATGAGTTTGAAAAGGAGAATGAAGTTTGGAAAAAAGAAACTAAACAGGACCTCAAAAAGTCAAATACCATTGACCCTTTCATTACCACTTCAAAACGTGTTGATGTGATTCAAACCGATAATGACATTGTTTTTGATACTGTTGAACCTGCCTGCTCTTTCTGTAATCAAACTGAGGGTAAGTTTTAAGGGTGCATTATAGACTTAGTCTCCCTACATTAGGATAGTTTTAAATCTGTCAGTTACTATACTGCAGTGTATCCAGCGGTTCTAGGACTGTGTTAAGAATGGGGGTTGGGGGGGGGGGAGAGGGGGTGTTTGGAGTTTCTGATGAAAGGAGGGGGGGGGGTATGGGTTTCCTCCCAAGGAAAATTTGGTATTTTTAAAGCCGTTTGGTAACTGTCTTTTTTAAGCCATTTTAACTAACCCATCTATCTAGAATTGATGTTCAATAACCCCCGTCAGGGTACGTTAAAAAGACAAAACGTGTTTTTGAATTTATTTTTCCAGGGACCAATGGAGGGGGGGGGGTTTAGCCCCTGTAGCCCCCCTGGCCTTGCAACCACCACTGCTAGTAGTTAAAAGTTTTGTGTCTTAATACAAAAACAGTGTTTTGAAGTTTAGATTCAGTTTAGCCTACAATGAATCCTAATCATTAATATTAATAATGATACAGTAGACTCCCTCTTATCCGCACTCCTCGGGACCGAGGCCAGTCCGGATAACGGATTTTCCGGTTAAACCGACGTCCCCAAAAACTCGTTAAAACGAACCGTTTAAATGCATACTAGTAAACTTATTTGACTTAAATTTAGGAGAGCATTGCATTTAGACATGTGATCACTGGTCTCAAATTTTTCCCACGATAACAGTTGTTTCAGTACCGCCCACTTCCTGCTGATCTAGTCAGGTTAAACCGATGTGCTGATAAAAGTTGTCCCCGGTGAAAGAGATGTCACTTCCGCCGAGTGTAGTCCGGTTAAAAGGTGTCCGGATAAGAGGGAGTCTACTGTACTACTATTATTATCTTCAATGATGTACCGTAGGCCTACCTTAATGATGAGATGAACTCAACGACAACTGCAAACAGTGCATACCCAACGAAACATTGCAACTTTCCTGCAAATATGCAGCCCAAATTTTACATAATATTCTGCAAACACTTTACTTGTGTTTAAACTTTACTAGTAGGTGTGTGGTGGGCAATAATAGCTGACATTCCAAATGTAACTCCCATTGTGTAGATTACACTACTACAGACAGGGCCGGACATGTATCTACACAGCTCATGTCCCAATTGAATTAAATCACTATTAATATAATTTATTGTATTTTTATATTTTTTGTCCTGCATTTTTGTACACATAGGTTGACGCCGGGCTTTAGCCCAGAACCTTTTTATAAAGGCTAACTTAACACTAATTTTTCTCTAGGTCTATTTACAATATTCTCACCTCTTGCAAAAAGTGGCTCATTAGTAACGGTACTACTTTTGTCTTAATTTAACTGGGCTAAAACAATAGACAACTTAATGTTTTTTAAAACATAAAACTTAGCCTTCATACCCGTGCTTCGTAACAGGAATAGAGGACACAGAATAGAATATGTTGAATAATGTGGTTTGTTATTTATCCATACTGTCTGTGAAACAGAAGACGTCTAGTGCACCAGCTGCACTAATAGCAACAACTACATTTGTATTGAAGGACTCTACAGTTGAAGCTAGAGTCAATGATCTGAAAGCAAATTGCTTAATAGACACCGGGAGTACATCAAGCTTTATCAACTTGAATGTTGTTCAGTTAAACAAAATAAAAATGTATAAAGAAAGTGGACAATTTATCCATGTTTGCCTCCTGGATTGAATAATAATAATAATAATAGGTTAAATACCTTGTATACGTCCTCAATCCAAGTCGTCTTTTATAATGACTATAGTTTCGGGGCCAACAGCCCCATTGTCAAATTTTCTGTCTTGTTAATTACTGTTTATAGCATTGGCCACCGTTGAAGTACACATATACACATACACTGACACACGAAACATTTATATTTACACGTAACATTGAAAAATTATACTTTTTTGGCCGGCCTAAACAAAAGTGATTACATCATTGTGCGGACCGGTACACTGACTGACTGATTCATGTTAGCCGATCAATTTGACAATGGGGCTGTTGGCCCTGAAACTATAGTCATTATAAAAGACGACTTGGATTGAGGACGTATACAAGGTATTTAACCTATTATTATTAAAGTGGACAAGTATCGCTAGCTGCTTCTAATATGAAATCTAACGTCAACGGGTTTGTTAAAATCAACCTAAATCTATTGAGTCACAATTACAACAATTTTAAGTTTTCTGTTCTTGAAAATCTTTGTACCGACGACGTGCTTATCGGACATGATGTCATGAAACTCCACTCTAATATACAGGTCTGGTTAGGAGGTAAGGAACCTCCTCTGTTGGTGTGCTCCTGTGCCAAATTTGAACCAGCCAAACTATTCTGTAATTTAACTCAAGATTGTAAGCCGATAGCCACAGAATCACGAGGTTACTTGGAAGAAGACATGCAGTTTATAAAAAAATAATAGAAAGACTACCGGTACAGACTGAGGAGATCATTGAACCTAGTTCGTCACCTTGGCGCGCACAAGTGTTGGTTGTAAAAAGGGAAGAAGTGACTATTCGCAAACGATAAACAAATTTACTCTTCTAGACTTCTATCCCTTACCAAACACAGATGTTCTAGTATCCACTGTAGCAACGAACAAGGTTTTTAGTGCCATTGATCTAAAGCAAGCATACTATCAAATACCGATTTCTGACAGAGAGAAGAAATACACTGCTTTTGAGGCTGCTGGTCGTCTTTTTCAATTCAGAAGAATCCCATTTGGTGTAACCAACGGCTTGTTTTCAAAAGACCATGGACCAGATTATGCCAACCATTAGAAAAGAAAAGCTGAATGTAGTGTACGCCTATTTGGATGATTTGACCATAGTGGAAAGGATCGAAAGGATCATGATGAGAATCTAAGACAATTCTTAGATGCTGTAACCAAGTATGGACTTGTAATCAACAATGAAATGAGCAAGTTCAACCAAACTTCAATAACTTTGTTCGGACGCTTAGTTTCTCATGAATCTATTGGCCCTGATCGAGATCAGCTAAAATTTTTACTGTCACTTCCTGTGACCAAAGACCAAGATTCACTAAAGCGATTCCTATGATTTGTTGTTCACTATTTAAAATGGATACATCGGTTTTCAGATAAAATAAGAAACCTGAAACATGGTAATTCTTTTCCTTTGTCACAGGAAGCGTTTGCAGATTTTGAATCACTCAATCTTGACATTGCAAATTCAGTACTTAATTACTCTAGGAATGGGCAAGAGCCACTGGTAGTGGAGACTGGCATAGCCGTGGCAGCAACTTTGAGTCAAGATAATCAGCCAATTGCTTTTTTCTCCCGGAATCTAAACAAATCTGAGAAGCTGTATTCAGCAGTTGAAAAAAAGCCATTGCCATTATTAAAGCCCTTAGAAAATAATCCATTTCTTATCAGAGGAGACTTCAGATTATGCACGGGTCAGCAAGCTTTATATTTTTTTTTGACAAGAGGCATACAAGCCAAATCAAAAACAACAAAGTTATGAAATGGCAACTAGAGTTAACACATTATCAATATGAAATAGTGTAGGGTACCGACCTGGTAGGGAGAATGTAAAAGTAGATACACTTTCTCGGGCATGTGCGGTTCGCTGGGACACTGCTAAGTTGTTTGAATTACACAAATCTCTCTGCCATCCGGGAGTCACTCAAATGTTTCATTGGATTAGAACTAAAAATCTAAACTCAACTCTGGATGATGTAAAAAGGATGACATCAGCTAGTCAAACATGTGCAGAAGTGAAGCCAAGGTTTCACCAATTTTAAGGAAAACTGATAAAGGCAACCACTCCCTTCAAACATCTAAAATACTGATTTTAAGGGCCCTCTTCCATCAACAACCAGAAGCCGTTACCTTTTAACCATGGTTTTTTTACCATGGCGAATGAGTATTCTTGTTTTGTTTTAGCTTACCCCGGTAAGGACATTAGTTCAGCAACAGTTATTGAATGTTTTTCAGATCTATTCTTTATATTTGGAGCCCCTTCCTTTGTACATTCAAATAGAGGTTCATCTTTTATTTCGTGTGAACTGACGGACTTTCTTCACAATTATGGAGTAGCTACAAGTCATACGACACCTTGTAACCCTAGTGGGAACTCTCAGATTGAACACCTCAATGGAACAATATGGCGAACCATCCTACTAGCTTTGAAAACCCATAACCTACCAGTTGCTGCATGGGAAGAAGTATTACAGGAAGCTCTTCACTCAGTCATATCTCTTTTATGCACTGCGACAAATTGCACACAGCACGAAAGATTCTTTATACATACGTAGCAGAAGAACTACCAACAGAGTCTCCTTACCATACGGGCTACCGTGAACCTTAAAACATTATCGTCGTGAACCTTAAAACATTATCATCCTCAAAGACGATTGAAGCAAACATGTGAATTGTGGATGGTGCAATCTTTGTAGGTGTTTTTTGCAATTGTGATAATATTGCAGGGAGTAGAAGTTAGTGTGTGTCAGCTCAAGCTAGTTTTCTGACTTGAAGCTTCATTGCTCAAGTTTTAGGCTAGGCTCGGCTTGAAAATCAAGCTGCATGTACACCTCCAGTCATTTTTACAGTTTTGTCGTAGCTAAACATTTTCCGCTACGGTCCTGGGCCTCATTGCTCTGGCCCTGACTAGGTAATAGGCTATTTGGGTATGGACTATTCAGTCTGTAGAATAATGCTCATTATCAGTACTACTATTTTTGATGCTGTATTGACCTACTTAAGTTGCACTTATATTTAAATCTTGGGATGAGTTTAAAGAAACTATAACCATCCAGTTTGCTAAAACTGGTATTTTAATTCAAACTTATAAAAAAACCTGTTTGTTTTAGATTATGGGGCTGATCTAATATTGGAATCAATAACCCTCACAAAGAGTGAAATAGATAAACTTGCTTTGGAGTGGGAAAGACCGGCTGTAGTGGGTCCAAATGATGTAAGAAAACTAGAAAAACCAGACGTCATCTCAAGTGAGTCTTGATATATTGAACGTTAAGATAGCCCAAGCTACAAATTAAAATTATTTTAAATATTTAGTTTTATCACTGCATGAATATTAGTTATGTGTATCCTTAGATTAGGTATGTATGTACAGTGTAATTGAAAAGTCCCCGAACGGTGTAATATATTTTTTACTATTATAGATAAAGTTATTATAAGCATTTTTGTATTGTTATTATAAGATATACTTGGGGTATATCAATAATAGCCATAAATATCTACTGTTTCAAGCTATTACTACTTTTTTACCTATTAAGGGGGGATGGCCCACGAGGAACAAAAATTCTTAAATAGCAGCATAGATCAAGTTTGGTTTCAATATTAAAGGTCTCATTTAGTACCCTAAACTATCACATGATCCCCTATTCATCACCCCACATCATCCCCATTAGGATTAAAGTCATGTTTATGGTTCATATTGAACTCACATTGCCGCAAAACCAAACTCAAATGGACAACCGAGTAAAAAATGACAGCCATTGAAATATTTCCTGAATCTGAAATTTTGAATCTATAAACGGCTGCCACTTTTTACACAGCTGTTATTTTGAGCTCAAATTTGCGGCATTGTATTCTACTAATAAAGATCTTTAACCCTTAAGCGCTTGGGCTGGTTTTTTTTTACACTGGAGCTTGCACGGGGGTCTAGTAGTGGACCTCAAATAAAAATGGGTACAAAAAAGCTTTTGATATTTAACTCTAAATTTTAGACGTAATATCTATATTCATAACACAGGTACATCCTCGGGGGTTTGGTGCAAAGATGGTGTTACTGAAAGTTTTGACACCTCTATAGGTCTGAGACAAGGCTGTGTATGCAGTCCTAGTATGTTCAGTCTATTTGTTAATGACCGGAAGTGGTGGGAGGTGGTTATAATTTTGATGGAAACAAAATAAATATGTTGGTTGATGTATACAGACAACATCGTCTTACTCGCCCCAACTTCTTCAGTTTTACAGCATATGATAAACAATTTGTAGAGGTACTGTGACATATGGAACATTAAACCCTTAAATTCAACTTGGATGAATCCAAAGTAACGTTTTTTAGAAATGGTGGGAAACTGTGAGGAGGTGATGACTGGTGGTACAAAGGTGAAAAAATCTAGATAGTTAAAAGCTATAAATATTTGGGAGTCACATTCACCAGTACATTATCGAGGAACAATCACTTTAAAGAGAAGTCAGGAGTAGCAAAATTTGCCTTACATTCTGTTTGGGACGGGTTGATGACAAATCGTGATACTCCTGTTGCTAGCAAAATGAAATGTTTCAATTCAGTTATTAAATCAATTATTTGTTACGGCGCTGAAGTCTGGGGTTTCGAGGAAAAAGAGCATGTGGATTGTGGAAACTGTTAAAATGTTTATTAAGAAGCCTCCGAATTATGTCCTGTATTAAGAAAAAAATAGAAAAATTATTCTCTCCAACCAATATTAAACCATATCTAATTAAATTCAAAAGGTTCTTTCATTATCTAACTATTGCCTACTTTACATTCTAGCTAAACTAATTATGAAAAAATACATTTACTGGAGCCGCAAATGGAAATCAATGGCTAAAAGAATCAATTTGAATTTGGATCCCGGTGATCTTACAGTTTTAGGAGAGGAATTGACAAGTGTAAAGGAACACTTAAAAGCCGTATGGTGGGCAGATTGTGTAGGAAGGGCTTGTACGTCTTTTTACCACAGTCAGTTGGCTGTCATTTGACCTTGAGCTTGGCAACAGTAGTCCACTGTATGATAACAATGTTGACGTTATCTCTTGGGCCATAAAAGCTATAGAGCCGAAATTATCAACTTAAACTATAAGCCTTGGTTAGAACAAAATTATTTATGTTTGTTATACAATCATCAGGAAAATAAAACAACATTTCACTTCATAGCCAAATGTCCTGTCTATCAGCATTCAAGAAAACAGTTTTTTGGGGAAAGAAGAATAAGTCCAATGAATTATATTTAAATGGGATGAATTGGCAGATATTTGCTAAATATTTGAAAGCCGCTTGGAAATATCGATGGGTATTGAAAAACAAATTTAACTTTGACTATACAGCGTTCTATAATTAGATATTGATTTTTTCCTTTTGTTCATTCCTTGTTTTATGTAGCTTATTTCATATTAATTATATTTAGGCTAGTTGACTGTATGTAACAAATTGTCTGTCTCTCATCCTCATACTCAGAGTACTTTAAAATATTTGAATGTGTTTTATAAGTATCTTTTCATTTTATACTTTAAGGGCCGGTTTAAAAGCTCGGGATTTAGATAAGTTCTAGACTTAAACTCTGGAGTCAACAAAATGACTTTCCGAGTCAGGGCGTTAGCAAAGTCCAGATCTTAGTAGACTCTGGATTTTATTTGGCTGGTTAGACTCTGGAGTTTAAAATTTGACTTTCCGGGTGAAGGATCTATAGATCTCGTCTCTTTCCGAGTCAAGGATTAGCAAAATTCGTTAAATCTAGGATCTAAATCAGTACGATTTTAGATCCTTGCCAAGGGCAGGATTTAAAATTAGATCCTAGACTTAACAGATAAGATAAGATAAGATAAGATCTTTATTTCCATTAGATATTCTTTTGAATACATTGGATATGTCAGGTTACAACAGAGTATAAACTTGCGTTTTAGTCGTTTGATCTGTAGTAGAAGATTAAAACACTTTAACATAATATAAACGGATTATATTTGAGACACTACAACAGACATTCTCTACAACAGTACATCAACATTCAGCAATCGACAGCAGGACTACCAACATTACAAAACGTATTATCCTATGTACAAAGCAATGTACCAATCCATTAGGCTACATCTTTAACACTAGATTACAGTGATATATATATATAATAATACAACATTTAAACACCTCAGTTTTTGTTTTGAAGTCGGTTTTTGCGCATTGTTATAATAGAATAATTTGGATTATGGTAGTTTACAAGCAACACAACGTGTTGTGCACTTAACCCATTTCTCGTGTTATCTAATAAAGAGATTCAAGATGATTTCATCTTTCAAAAGATATTATGTTTACTGTCTCCAGGAATAAGGGTTTAAATAATGAAAGAGCTCCACTCAGCATTCCAAAATGGAAACAAGTGTTGATTGCGCTAAGCTTTTTTTTGCTGACGTGACTCTTCACAGGGAAACTGGAGATCTTCTCCATGTGTCAGAGTCTACTGCTTGTAGAGTTATCCATAAGGTAGCAAAGGTAATATGTGGGAGATTAAGGACATAATTTAAAATTTCTGAAGGGGAATCTTAAAAGAGGAAAACAACAACAACCTGGTGTAGAAATTAGAAAAAAGGTAAATATTCTAATTCTAGCCTTTGCAGATGACGTGACTCTATTAAAAAAGCAGAGGATGAAAACGGTCTAAAAACCCTCACAGAGACTCTAATTAAAGAAACTAGAGCAATATAATTGAAAGTCAGCAAAGAAAAGACAATATTCCTAATAGTTGGACAACACTTAGAAGATTTTGACGTGGAACACTCCTTGCAAGTTGGAGACTATAAATTCAAAAGGACTGCAGAGTTTAATTACTTAGGTGTGACCATAGACCAAAAAGATAAAGAAGAAGTAGAGATAAACACTAGATTATTACTGGGGAATAAATGCTATTGGGCCCTTAAATCACTGCTAAAAAGTATACTTTTGTCAAGGAGAACCAAAGAAAAATTATAAAACTATTTAATACAGCCAATAGCACTCTTGGATCTGAAACCTGGACATTGACGAAGAACAACGAAAAGAAAATAATTGTTTTTTAAAACAAAATACTAAGAACTATCTACAGCTACGGTCCCATCAATGAAAATGGGGTGTGGAGGATCAGAACAAACAAAGAATTGCGGGAAATCTATACAGACCTAGACATAATTTAGCACAAATAAAAAGCAGGAGACTGAGAAGTCATGTGAAGAGAAGAGAAGAAGATTCTACGCTAAGAATGGTGTCTGAAAATGTCCCTTGTGGAAGACGACCACTAGGACAACCTCGGCTAAGATGGCAGGACCATGTGCGAAGAGACATAGGGAAGCTAATAGCAGAGACAAAATGGATGGAAGACAGAGAGAGGTGGCGACTTGTTGTTGGTGAGACCAAAAACCTACTGAGGTTTGAGTGGCACATAGGTAAGGTAGGTAAGGAAAGGAAGGGGAATACACATATAGGACAAAGCATACATGTTTCCTGGGGTGTTAAACTATGTTGATGGCGCTACGTACTTATTATGTGAAATGTATACATGTAAATATATGTGGGTGATGAAATTCAAAATCATGTTAAAAGGTGCGTGACACACTGGTCACGTGTACTGAAGGTTATTTGAAAATGTAAAGTCATGAAAAAATAAAAGTGATGGAATGTAAAGTTCCAGATGAATTAACGGAACGTCTAACATTTCTTGCCATAGCTTTTTTAATTCATCGTATCAAATTCAAATTTGTAGAATTAATTTCCTTTTTTAAAGCTTCTTAAAATGATGTACTACTTGATAGTGGTTGTTGTTTGAACATTTTAAGTTACCCCCAGCAACCCCTACAGGGGGTGGGGGGTGAATTTCAAAATACCACCAAAAAATACTTTATACTACCCTAGTAACGTGTATCGAAGCTCGTTTGAACATATTCATCGTTAAAAAATTAACCAGTTGGTAGTATTATGGGACACCCGGTATTTAAGATTGTTTGAATAAATCATCTTTATAACTCCATCTTGATATTTTAGAATATTGATCTTTATTACGCATCTGATAGTGCTGTTTCAGAATAGAGGAACATCGATAATTATAAATTTATGTTACTTTAGTTGAAAACAATTATCTTATAAACGTATAAAATAACTAATAAAGAATATAAAATCATGCATAAAGATAATAACAGCACTCCTAAAATGGGTATGAAGATAACAACATAAAAACGTCACTATTCGTTCTCTTTAAGTCATTATAAACACAGTTTGTACAACAATATTTTTAGATTTTTTTTAGTAAAATTTATTTCAACTTAAACTTGATTCACAATCAAAATTAAATATGAATGGTTTTGAAATAAATTTTAGCCTATACTGCATGTCAAAATAATGAACTATTTAAAAATGTTAAGTATAAATGTGAGGCAAAGTACCACCTTGGGTACCAAGAGCCACGGCAGTAAGTAAGTAAGTATAATTGCTATTCAAAAACAATAAAAGGTTGTTTTAGCGAAATTCCCATATAGGGAATAAGCTATTACTGTAGTACCACAGCCACCTCTAATACAGGCTGTGGCGAGTGAAAAGTGGCAACGTCGCATCCGTGTCTTGGTGCGTGGTCGACTTACCATTACAGTGAATGGAGGAGTCGCGTACCGACGTACATAATCGTGTTTCTAATACCCTTAATAATTAGTAATGCCATTGAACTTGTTACTACAGCATGCCAGATAGATGTGATATGGCTGGATGCAAGAATAATTACGAAAGCTCAATTAAAAATGAATAATACATACAGTGTTCTAAGATTCTATGTGATCCGCCGCGTAAGCAACAATAGCTTCCTGCTATTCATCGGTCAAATTAGACATCTTAAAACAATTCTCGTTTTTGTGTGAAACATTTTTATGAATATGAACTTAGATTTGTAAAAAAAAAATGTAAGAATAAGACAATGATTCATGTAAATATAGACGCAAGAAGCGAGTTTTAGGTGGTAATGCCGTACTATTTCCTTATTTATTTGTCTATCTTATTGATAAAAGCTGTTGTTAAGTGATTAAAATAACTTAAATAACTAGCACTTCAAAGAAATAAACTGGTGTTTCTGTCAAGTTTAATTAGGCCTACTAGTAAAAAAATATGTACTACACCATCTAACAATAAAAGCATCATAGTCTCCGACTCCAGTCTGAATGTTGATGTGATAAAAAAAAATCTATTAATATTGTGGAAAGCCATATGGATGCCTAGCTTCTGAATTACAAAATGGCAAACGTTTTGCTTATTAATTATTCAAAGAAAATAAATTATTTAGTCAGTATTCCTTCAAAATGAAAACTTAAAATTTTGTTGTCGCTAACTTATGGTTTCCTCAGGTAGACTAAAACATAATATTTCTATTTAAAATTTGAAATTATTTTATTTGAACAAATTGTTAGATATTAGTCTCTACAAATATTGAAGTGGCAATAAGTTAGTCATACTGTAAAATATTACTATTCTTGGTATAGTGGCTATAATTTGTAAAATTTAAGCCCAGTCTGTCTAGTAGTTTTTACTATGTTGAATAACACACATATATACAGACACCATGAGATTGTTATATAATAGTATAGATTACCAAATTAACAAGGGAAATATGTAAAGTCCATCTATTTCCACATTCATCGTACTTACAATACAATAAATGCAACCAAAAACATTATGTTTGTATATTTTTAGTTGAAGACATATTGTGGTACCTATGTTGCAATTCATTTTTCACTAAATAAACAACCTAGATTCTAATTTGTCTTTTTTACCACATTCAAACTAAAATATGTAATTTAAATACTTTCATTCATTGATACAGAGCAGCAATACTCTCATTGATGTTATAGCCTAGCACGAGTGCAGGACCCAGGCGGCGGGTGAGTGCGACGTTGCCAGTTCGAACGTCGCGGCCTTGTATTAGAGGTGGCTGTGGTAGTACTCATGGTAAGACCTGGACCTGGGACCGATTTACTTTTTCGATTTGAGGTCCCTAGAGGCCAAAAACACCATCCGTTCAAATTCATATAATATGATCAATAGATAATTTGATCACATATACATATAAACAAATTTGAATGAATGGTGTTTTTGGCCTCTGGGGACATCAAAATGAAACAGTGAATCAGTCCTTGCCAAGGTCTTACCAACCCAACAACGGTAGTAGCTACTTCCCTATAGGGAAATTCGCTAAAAGTAATAATAGCTTAAAAGAGTAGACATTTATGGCTATAATTGATTTACCAAGTTACATCCTTTTATCTATAATATAGTATAAAATATATTACATCGTTCCGGGACTTTTCAATCACAAGGTATAAAATAAGCTAGTATAGACTGTTTTAAACTATTTTGGTGAAAAGTTAAAACTGAATCATATTTCAAGGGGGCCATTTCACCAAGGCAGGATAGCTGACTGAATATAGTGCTCATCTGGAAATTAGAAGGTTGCTGGTTCGATCCTGAGAAAAGTCAAAATTTGTAAATGGTTTGAAACTGTATCTTGGGTGCTCGTGATGATTGGGCTTTCACTAAATGGTCCTGGCTGAAGAACCAGTTTATCTTAATCAGTGTCAAAGCTGTCATCTCAATTCATTCAACACTAATCTTGACATTTAAAACGCAAACTGGTGGGTCGGCATCATACAGACGAAACAGAACCTCACCTAGTACATTGGACCCATGTAGCCTTCCAATCCACAGCCATTAGTGTTGACTTTAAAGTTTTATAAATACTACATGTCCCTTGTGCCGTTTTAAAGTAGAAAAAGTCTGACACTTGTGCCTCAGTGTTTGTTTATAGCTATTTACAGGATTTGTCCTGGGCACATGTTATATAATATTGTTTGTAAACTTTAATGCTGACACACTGCAATGCGTTTAGACAAAGATTTATGAACTTACTAGATGATTGTAAAATGAATGACATGTTGCTTTGTTACTTACGAAGACCCGTTGATCCTTAGCCAAAATCACTTATCAAGAGTCTAATGAGGAGTAGCTTTAACAATCATAAAGTTGGACACTTGGATTCCTGGCTTACAATACAATAGGTCCCTATTTTGTATTTTAGTAGCGGCAACTAGCATTTATCCTGCCCGTTGATGCATCCCTCCCCCTCCCTCACTTGGGCGAGTCCAATTCTGCACTGCTTGTTGTAATTTGAGTCGTCTGCTTGGTTTTGTGCTTTAATATTTGTGTTTTTAGACTGACATGCGATAGAACAGAAAAAAATTTTCTGGGTACATTCTATGGACTACTTGTGAACATTACTTGAAACTGCCCTTCTAAACGACTTAATAATGTTGGGTGTGACCCACCCAGGGCTACAGATATACACATGTATATTTGTAGCCCTGGGTGTGACCACCAACGCCTCTTTGCACGACGTCTCTTCTTAACAGCCTGCAACAACAGCATACATATTGGAACGGCCCAAATGTCAGTCACATTGGGCGAGCACAGTCGCCGGCGTTCTATATGCTCGTGTAGTCAATGCTCTCGCGTTCAATCCGCTGCTGATTGTCGGCTTCGTGTAGTCCTAGACATTTTTACGCGTACTATCGGTTGCGTTTCATATGCTCGTGTGGTCCGGCCCTGATATCTATATGAAAAAAATCTCTCTGCTGAACTCATGTACCCTGGTAACAACTTTTAAGTAGAAGGTAGCAAAGTGCCTGATCAGATGTGCTACAGTTTCTAACAGAACCTTCCACTGCATATTATACCTATTAGCTATGCCTCTTCCATCTGTTCTTGTTGTATGTTCTTTGTCATTGTCAGTTTCCTAAAGGCTAATAAGTGACAAAATCAAATTTTGATCTAACCCAAATGGGGAAGCATTACTTGAGGTAAAGATTAGAATCCCGTTTCAGAAAACTCAGTGTCTTTAAGATATGTCATTTAATGTCTTTGATCCTATGCGAAGGACTCTTGAATATCTAAGGTACAAAAACATTTTGTCACTGTAGCCAATTATCAAGAGATTCTTCTATTATTCACAAGGAAATATTTTGTGATTAAGATTTTATTAATCTCTACTTGTATAGATTTAATAAATTGCTATTATTTATTTGTAGCCGCTGACCTGTATTCACTCAGCAGCCATTGGGATATATTTGATTATGACTTGGATGAACCGGATATAAGTCTACTGCATGACATTCCAGTTGTTGAAAGTATCATTGATCCTGATTCCTTCGAAGAATGAAGTGGCAATACAGTTTTTTTACCATAAATATCTTAACTTAAAGTTTCAAATTTTGTATTTATTATAGATTGTAAAATTTATCATGGTTCTTGGTAAAGTACACATGATATTTTTGTATTGTTTTGTATAATTTATTAAAATATTTTTATCATATTCACAACTATTTCTTTCATCCTTTTTTTTGCAACAAAACTAAAACAGATGCACAATAAAATTGTTCAAATTGCAAATTCCTACACTTATTCGTGGTCATTTCACTCATTTCTGTCTCAAGGCGTCATAGATGAATTCACTGTGTAAAAGTTGGTCAGTAACAAAGCTGGACACATCCGACTTAACAAGTTTATTTAATTATGCTTTTGACAAATCTTGAAACTTAAAAAGTATCCAAGTTTGCCCCTAAGCATGCCTAACAAACATTGATACAAATTTTGTACAGTACAGGTCTGTAAAGGTAGGGTTGTGACCCATCGTTTCAAACTCGACTTTTACGCTGAATATGATGCTGCAATCCGTTAAAAAAAATCTTGACCCATTCTAAATATGTCGTTTTTTATAACTGTGTTTTTAGCCCATTTTAAGATTGTGCATATACAAACTAAGACCATACTCTCAAAATAGTGCTAGATAAAGATAAGTATACACCACCATTCACTGTCGACCTATTTTCACTTGGTAATGACGGATGTATTTTTATGTATTTTTTTTGGCCGCCATCTTGGATCAGCCATTTTGAAATGTGATAAATTATTTTAAATATGAAGGTGGTGTTGTTACCCATAATTTTGAACTACTTTTTTATGCTGAACTCGATAACGCAATCTGTTTTTCATTTTCATATTTGGTTTTAGCGAATTTCCCATATAGGGAATAAGCTATTACCGTAGGTCTCATGGTAAGACCTAGACCCGGGACCGATTTACTTTTTCGTTTTGAGGTCCCCAGAGGCCAGAAACACCATCCGTTCAAATTATATATATTTATATATATACTAGCTGTACCCGCGGGCTTTGCCCCGTTTAACTTCTTAATTTTCAAAGATGAGCTCGTTCGCATGGCTCATTCGCGTCCTGGTTGAAGTTCGTTCGCTACGCTCACTCACCTTTGGGTTGGAGCTCGTTCGCTGCGCTCACTTGCCTTCAGGTTAGCTCGTTCACTACGCTAACTCGCCTCCAGGTTGAAGTTCGTTCGCTACGCTCACTCACCTTTTGGTTGGAAATTAGCTGTTGTCATAAATAAAAAAAAAATTAATAGTGCTGCATCCTGTTGGTAATCTTTTATGCTATTGCACATCATAGAACAGAACCAACTTGTTTAATTGAAACAGCTGTTAAGATTCATTATTTCCTTTTAAATATGAAAAATCATAAGATTAACATGGGGAACTACAGAGCCACTGGGGCGGAGCCCGAAAGGGTTTTTGAGATAAGAATATGCTTTAATGTTAATCGGGAATGTGAGCTATCATCATACCAAATTTCAGCCCAATCCGTCCAGTAGTTTATGCGTGATTGAGCAACAAACACACACACAAACACACACACAAACATACACACAAACTCACAAACTTTCAGATTTATAATATTAGTAAGATTATTGTATCTTCTAACTTTTTGTCACTGTAGCCAATTATCAAGAGATTCTTCTATTATTCACAAGGAAATATTTCACATTAACTGAGGTAACAGTATAGAATAGATTATAGTCCGTTCAAATTCATATATATATATATGTGTCCGTTAGCGCGATAACTCGAGCAAAATTGATCCGATTTTGATGCAATTTGGTACAAACGTGTAAACCTACATTTATTCGAACGAGTTCGCGAACCAGCATAATCGGACCATGGGATCAGGGGTTTATGGGGGGTTTTATGGGGTAAAAATGGGTTTTTCTAATTTTTGACCCTAAAAACTTGAAATTTATAAATTTCTCTCTATACCAGTTTGAAGAGCTTAAAAAAACAAATAATTTAGTATATTGAAGTGTTTTTGAATGTTCATTGACTACGGAGAAAATTAAAAAAATTGTAAATTTAAAATTCCCATGTTATTCTTATGGAGAATAAATAAACTGCTCTAGTTTGCTTGTTTATGGATATATTTTAATCAAGTTTGGCAATTTGGTTTATTTCATACTAAGCTATCAATATTTCAATTGAAAAAAACACACCTCAACATCTTACCTGTAGCAGCAAACCTAACTACTCACTAAAATTAATGTTATTTAAATAGGAAATAAATCTGAAAATTTATAGGGAATATTTTAGTAGAAATCAAGCCGGGTAAATGGAAATTCGCTTAGTATGCAGGTTTGCTGCGACGGGGGTATTGAATTATTTTGAAATATTGACATTTTAAATAAAATTTTTATAATATTTCGTCAAGAAAGTTTGATAACAAAAAAACGAATTGCGGCATTGAGTTCAGCATATAAAAGTTGTTCAAAATGATGGGTCACAACACCACCTGTATATTTGAAATAATTTATCACTTTTTAAAATGGCGGATCCAAAATGGCGCTAAAAAAATACATCCGTCATTACCAAGTGAAAATAGGTCGACAATGAATGGTGGTGTCTACTTAACTTTATCTAGCACTATTTTGAGATTATGGTCTTAGTTTGTAAATGCATAATATTAAAATGGACTAAAAATAAAGTTATAAAAAGTTCTCATAACTTTAGAATAGATAATCTTGTATAATTTATAGGATTGCAGCATCATATTCAACGTAAAACTCTAGTTTGAAACGATGGGTCACAACCCTACCTTTACATTTGAAAAAAAAAACGTTGTATCCAATATGGCGGATCCAAGATGGCGGCCAAAAATTTATACCCAGTAAAAATGAAGTACTTACTAGTCTACAATGATTTGACGTGGTCCGGAGTTGATATTTTAAGAAATGTAGAAAAAAGTAGGGGGGAACTCATTTAAAACTCACCCTGTATGCTAAATAAATTGATTCGTAGTTTGTTACTGGAACTCGTTTGTACTCCCCAAAAAAATGCTTTCTGTACTATATTTTAAAAACAAGTTTAAAGGATTTATGACATTGTTAGATTAAGATTAAATTGACTTGGACACCACCATTATTTTAATTAGACCAGGTTATGGATTAATTACTTATCTTCTTGTTTCATACACAACATAATATATTATATGACAGGGAATACAGCCGGATTGAAGGCAATAATAGTCAGCCAGTGCATTATCATAGCCAATGTGAATCTTAGTATCAGCATAGTTCCTTTTCATAAATATTATAATGTTTCATGTGGAGATTTTTTTTAGCACTAAAGTAATTTGTCAGGCTGTAGATGCTAGTCACACAACTAGGTCCCCTATACTACCTAGTCTAATATTGTCGTTTGGCAATACTATCTGCTACAACTCTCAACTGGCTTTCTCAGAACTTTCCCAATAAGTAAATGAAATAGGGAGAAACAGTAACAAATCGCCTGTACACATAAAAGAATACAATTTGTATTTAGTTATAATTATTCCATGGCTTAGCAACGAAGGAAACTCACTCCCAGTTGATATTTCAATTATTATAGGGCTCTACCAAGCCTAACAAGATTAGGTGTTATGTGTAAGGCAACACAATAGGCCTACATATTCCTTAATTTTTTGCTCTTAAGTTCTATAGCAATGGCAACTTAGTAGCTACGAAGCTGGAGTCGTTAGGTGGTTACATTTTTTGTTGTTAAATCTGTTTCACTTAGCACAAGTGTCTTGAAATGCCAGACCTGAACTGTCAGAGAATAGAGTTATTGTTGTTACCAAACTGAAGTTGATTACCGGTATTCTCAACTTTGTGTTAAACCAAGGCCACACTAAAAAAAAGGCCGTAATGCTCGTCAAGCATGACGTCACGTCAGAAGACGGCAATGACGTAATGTTTAATATTTTTGTGACAAATGGTATTTGTTTATTTATTTTCCAAGGAAAGATTAAAACAAGCAGCTGATCACAAACGGTAAACTACGTCATTGCCGTCTTCTATCGTGACGTCATGCTTCACGAGCATTACAGCCTGTTTTTTTAGTGTGGCCTTGGTTAAACATTCTTCAAAAATATCTGTGGGCAGTAAAACACTTTGTAACTATTCAAAACTAACGCAATTTGGAAAGTAATCTTACATACAAAATGTTACTACATCTATCTATATATTAATAGGCAAGCATGTTTCTTTAAAACCTTTTTTCTCAGCTCGTGTGAATCGTAGGGAAAATCTACGCATACCGTTGGAAAGCTATTTTCCTGTAGGTGTGCAGAATCCCTTTATAAATTTAAATAGGCTCAAAGATAAGCACAAAAAATGAGTTTAAAAATTTGAAAAAATTAACATGGATCTTATGCGTTGCTATGCTGGTTACGACATAACAACGAAATATAAACAGAAAATCAAAACAAATGGAGGAAACTCCAATCACATGTTTTATTTACAGTGTGGGGTGAAAATAGATAAGTGAGTACATTATACATATTTTTGGTCGAGTTTCGACCACTGGACGACCTCTCGTTTTTATTATTTTAAAGAGCATCAATCTAGAGCTTAAGCGTCATAGATTTTCGTCTGATTGAATACATTAACTTGGGTAATCACTGAGTAAACTTATAGATCAAAGGTTTCATGTGTATTGATAAGTGATCAATTTGCATGAGTATCATCTTTGGTTTTGTGTAACTGCTCAGTGAGTCATGATACTCCTACTACTCGGGTTTCTTGTGTCATCCGTCCAAGCGGTCCAACCTAATGTAAACCAAACTGACTGGATGTCTGAAACTGTTGTGCACATGGGGATTCAGCATAATACCAAGCAAGTATCATTTTTTACTTGCTGGACTCAAGGTAAATTTTAAACTATTAACAAAATACTACTGTAGGTATTAAGTATTAACATTACATAACTACACAGTAGTTCATTTTGAAATCTTATAGTCTTTCTATTCCATTTGTGTTTTATTTGTTTAATTCTTTGAACATGAAATGATAAAAATCTCAGTTAAAGAGCAGTACTCTAAACATGAATGTTATTCCTATAAGTAAATAAATGACTAATAGATGAACTGGTTATTTTCAAATAATGTTGTTATGACGAAAATACAATTTTATTTACATTTGTTACTTTGAGTTCTAACATAAATATTTTTATTTGATCATAATGTGGAAAGAGCAATGACATGAGAGCAAGCCTGAGGAATATGTGCTTCCCAGCAGCTCCCTCCTACTCTTGGACACCAATGGGTTGTCATATCAACTGTAATTACAACTATAAGGGAAGTCATGGTGGACACAGTGGTGTAGTAGGGCAGGACCTGCGTTTACAATTAATAGGTGATCCAAGTTTTTTTTCTGAGATACGGCAAGCATTCCTGCATTAAAAAATTTACTACTACTACTGCACCACTATGGGTGGACAGTACAACCAATCTATTCTTGTACAGTTTTCACATCGTTGAAATAAATCTAGTTTTAGTCATAGAATAAAATTATTTCTCTCAATTTCACAACAAAAAATCCATTGAAATTAATTTCAACAACAGTAGAACCTTGATAACAGACTCTCGGTAAGAAGTCAACCTTGATAAAAAGTTTTATTTAATAATCCCCATGAGAGTCAGTTATCGAGGTTCTACATCTGAACACAGAAATGAGGTTCTAAATTTGTTTACTCTAAAAGGTTAAATATAGAAGTAGCCTATGTTAATTTTCATAACAACTAACTACTATTGTCGTATCTAACATTGAAACAACACAATTGAAAGTTTTGCAGCGATGTCTCTGACACAGCAACATCTTGATCATTTTGTATGATTTTCCTTAATAACAAGGACGTGACTGTATTTTGCGATAGATATCTGTGTTAATGGACATATCCTGTTGAAATAAATATGCCATGAAGGGCAAAAACCGAGATAACCTAAAAAAGTACATTCTTAAAGAAATAATAAAATATTCCCTCGTCAAAGGTGTTGCTGTGTTGTGGAAATCGCTGCGATCTTACGAAATTATAAAATACATTGTTTTGATTGCATCAAAATATAGATGCTGCGGCGATGACAGATTGCTGGATATGACCATGGAAGTTGCTGCGATTCTGAGAAATCATCACGGATTTCTTTACAATCATTAAAACCTAGAGATTATGGTTTCAAATCATCATGGATGTGGCTGCGATTGTGTGAGATCCTCATGACATTACTGCTATTCTGGCATTCACAGTTTTTATCAAATTAATGTACAAATCAACAACTGATTAAAAATGAAGAAGTTAATAGTGAGATCTGATTATTAAAGTGCTGATTTTATTATAATTGTTTTATGTGAACATAGATTTGAGATTTATTACTTAACACATTCCCTGCGGCCCATCAATGGCTGGCGTAGGCGCAGCGTCGAACGAACCCAATACCCGGGTGATTGGCTTTCAAATATATCGGTCTGACGAATAGCATATAAAGTCCGATGATGTGCTGTGTTACGAGAGTTGACTAGTTTGCTAAAATACCCACAGAAAACAGCACTGCTTGCTTGGAATGTAATCGGTTCTATTGTATTGCCAATTGGAGGGAGAATGACGGGACAACAAGTTGACTTCTAAGCTTGCCAGATGGGGAAATTTACTACCAACCTACACCACAATTATAGACTGGTATTAGAGACACAATACCAACGTGTACCAACCGTCTCTGGCAAGATCCTGAGCCATACTAACTGCCAGCATTGCGTGTTGTGTCTCCGGTGGCACAGTCTTCTTACACCATGGCGTGCCATGCGTCCCCGGGGACCCAGCCGCAGCGAATTTGTTAAGGTTTAGGATTTAGATTTAAAATTCCTGGATTTGTTTATCGACAAAGAGCTTTCAAAATTGGAGGATGGTTTGTCATTATGTTATAGTATAAAAACGTTTAACATTCAAAGCTGGCCATTGACATTCAGTGTGATACAGTGTATACTTGATTGACAGTGGTGACTATGAAGGTAGCCCTAGCAATCAACAGACATGGAATGATGCAGAGTTGGTCCTTGGACATCACCAATCTTCCAGAGAATTACTATGAGGTTCTGGTCATTGACCTCAGCTGTCCAGGAGCAGAACACCTCCTGATCTTGGTATGGTCAAGAATGTTCTTATCATTGCACATTTTAGTAAGTTTAAAAATAATATTATAAACATGCAGGGTCTAGTAATGTAAGTTTTTATCACAAATATGGTCTTAAATTAAAATATTTAGTATAAACGGATAGTATATTGATTATTTAATTTGTTTTGTATTGTATTATGTAGGTTAATTCATTTAGAATTAGACTTTATGACAATGATGTAATGTGATGATAGTAAATAAATGGATGTAAAAAAATAGTACGGTAAGTGAAAATTAGGGTGAAATAGTGGGACTAGCTGGACTGCATTGGGTAAAATAAAGTGACAAAACATGGGGCCTAATTAAACCTTTTCAAATTATATTTGTCACACATTTTGAGAAACGGACACTCACTTTGGTACTTATTATTTATTAAAGCGATTTATTAAAGTTATTTTTACGCAACCCAAATAATTACAACTCAGCTAATGTGCATCATATTCCAGTTATCTATAAGGTTTAGTCACAGACAATATAATACTGCAATATTGTTGGTATTGTAATATACAGTTTCCATAATCTGTGGTTTAGTGTTATTGATGATTTAGTTTAAATAAGACAAAATATGATGTTTTTTGCATGCTCAATTAGAGCTTGCAAAAACGACAAGTTGAGAATTATTCACTATAAATTTCCAATAACACTAAAACTCATAGATAACTATGCAAATTGCATATCAGCTATCAGATTGGCAATGAAATAAACAATACTGGGATACCAAAATAAAAATGTGAGCTTGTTTTGTGTAATTTGGGCTGCGTTACAGAAATACCCTTTTAAAAATGAACTTCATTATTAATAATTATTCATTGTTATACTTTTATTATTGATTTCAATTTTATTTTAACCCAACAAACCTATTCTTAAATTTTTGTACTTATTTACCGGACACTGTATTCAATAAGTAAACATATTAACTTAATTTCACAAGTTTTATTTGACAAAAACCCTAGAACTATGAAAAGTATGAGAGAAAGTATAATAAATACTGGTATCAGCAATCTGACACATACTTTCTCCCATTAGCTTGTCAACAACCCTTGTCATGGCACATAGGGTAAGCAGTGAGAGTAACATGATAATTTATAAGGAAAATCATAAAAGTTGCAATAACATTTGAACAGCAATTTTTACAGCAAAGGGGATTATACTACCTTGTTCAAAGTCAAAAGGAGTATAACATACTGTACACAATTTTAATCAAAACCGTTCAGTCCAATTTTGAAAAAAAAATTTCTTTCTTAAAAAAAAATTACTATTGAAAAAAAAAGAATAATGCTGGAGGTAACATGGATTAGTACCTACATACCAAATGTTATCAGAATCGGACCACAGGTATGGTCTGTAACTATGTACACATCCATTCATACATAACTTCATACACCACTTTTTGGGTTCAGAGGGACCCAAAACGGATATATCCAGCCAAAACTAAAAACTTGGAAAATGTTGACGAAAACAATCCTTTCGCCTTATACCATGGTATAGGGGGAAAAATTAAAAATTTAGTTTCTGATGAGTAATGCAACAGCAAAGGGTTTCAGGCATCTCATGTGCGCAAGTTTACTCTGAGAAATATCTGGCTTCTGTTTGATTTCTCCTTGGCAAATAATACCAGTGGAGTGTTAGATGCTGCTCTACTAGAACATCTCCCTTGGTTCAACAACTTGAACATTCTTCCTGATAGCAAGGTAAGACAGTTGTGCAGGTTTTTTTGTCGCACAAATAATATCAAACGATATAAAAATATTAGGTTCCTATTTTAAAACATTGTCTTTGGCCACTTTGTAGAAAAATTGTAATTTAATCATTACAGAGAAATGGAACCAGAACCCATTAACTTAATTGTCTAGAAAAAAAGTTAACGTCTCTTGGTCTTGGTTTTGATAAGGGATTTTTACCAATTAATTAACCAGCGAGTTGATTGATTGATTGAAGGGGTGGACTGAAGCATCCTGTTGATTGTTTCAAAGTCTGTATAAATTCAGTACCTATAAGGTACTAAGTGATAAATGCAGCATCCTGCTCATGAGCTCCACCTGAGACAAGTGTCTGCTAAAGGTATAAGTTGATGTAGAGCTTTAAAGACTCATTATTAATTGTCACATCACCTGAGAGACACTAGGGGAGAGTTGCCTGATAGGGAACGTGTTAGCTAAAATATTAAACTGGTGCCGGTTCAATGATTGTGATGCAATGTGATTGCAGGTCTTTCTTGCCATTAGTGAGGAATGGGAGCTAGTGTCAGTGTACAGGATGGGTAGGGGTCGTCCTATGTTGACCACAGCCATAGGGACAGATAGAAGTAACTTGGAAGGCACCAAGCTGATAGGCTCCACTGTTGTAAGTACTGCTTGAATCGATTAATTGAAAGAAATTAATTAATGTTGGCCAAAATGGACTTGTAAATGAATTGGTTGGACTTAGTTACCTGTTTGCATGAAGATTAGAGGCAAAACAGGTTACCTCAAACTCACCTTAAATTCACCTTTCTAGTTTAGAATGCATTTATTTGTTGTTTTTTATGGAGAAAAGAGTGTAGATGTTAAGGTATGGTGTGGTGACACGATTCATATGCAATAGGCCTACTAATCCACTTAAAGACCAGCTCAAAACTTGTTTATGTTTTTTTATTATAAAATAAAGCATGTAATGGTCCAAACACGAATTATCCATGGCAAGCTACTCTCAGACCTGTTAGTATAACTTGTAATAGCTTATTTCATTCACTAAACATAAACAATAAACATGTTGAATGTAGGCCTATCTATGTTTAAGCTATTCCACCCAGAGCTGTTCAGAGGGTTTTACAGTGACTACATGCCTGATGTGGACACTTGGCCCAAACTACACTACCCTGTTGTGATTAATCTGGCCCATCAACTCAACTTTGAGTAAGATGTATACAATTAATTACTGTAGTACTTATTTGCTTTCCCTATCCCAATGTACTTCCTAGATGAAGGCAGTTGGTAGTCAAGGTGTAGCTGCTGTAAATACCTTACTGTAAAATATTTATTCCTACAGTCACCCGACAAAGTGGGCTTCCTTGCACAGATTATAGTACAGAAAGCCTTATTTTAATGCACAGTTTTTACTTTGTTGGAGCACACCAGTATTCCAACCAGACAACACAAAACAGCGTGTTTTTATTATTCACGTAATCCGTGTATGCTTGAAAATAAGTTGGCAACACTTAAAGATTACGACTACGATCAGCTGGTGCATCGTTTCCCATTTCGTTCAATGTTTGGATTTAACCTTCCCTAAAAACTTAGTGTTTGAAAGACTAATTATTTATATGATTTATAATAACTGTAGGAAAATATAATGTATAACACGAGTGCAAACTGCCTTTGCTGCAAAGTGCCACTTTGCCCACTAGTTTCACAAATAACTATTTCCAGCAAAAATTTACTTAAGTTTTGAACATAACCACAATTTTACACTGCAAACTAACAACATTTTATTAACAGGCCTGTTAGGTTTGTGCGCTTCTGCAATTCTGTTAATAGTCAGTTAAGTAGTTTCCTTGAATGAATGACAAACTTTCAAATATATAGTAACAATAATAGGTTACAAGCAAGAGATTAATTTCACAACATTGTGTGTAAAGTTATTTATGCATTGTGTTTTCAATTAAATGATGCTTTTCGTTTCATACAAAAAAGTGAGAATTCTGTGCACATAAACTTCAGCTCTCTCGAGAGAGAGTGGAAAATTATGAAAGTGTGACTCCTGCAAGGTCAATGTAAAACATTTATACTATGGCTTTGAGTATGGAATAGTGATCTAAATAAATTTTATATTCAGCTGGTACCAGACTATACATCACGTCTATTAAATATGCAATGGTTTTAGCCTTTTCAGTTTGGCTTGGTTTATAAGTTGCGGTAAGGTCTATAGTGATCGACATCAGCCACTCTCTATTGGCTCAATTTAGCTACGTCCATTTTTATTATCAAACAGGTGACAAGTTAACCTGTCGATGAAATATCTAGCTCTAGTTCTATCCATTGTAAATATAGAATTTGTAATACCACTGCTAATGATTAAATTGGGAGAAAACATGTTTTTAAAAAAGCATTTTTGAAACATGAAAGCCTGGAGCTTTGGGCCGTGGATGACTACGGGTGGGAGACCAATGGATCCTTCACCGGTCTGATGGGCCAACTGCAGCGTAGGGACATAGACTTTGCTGCCACTGGTTTCTTCATGAGAGCAGATAGGATACGCGTCGTTGACTTTACTGCGGAGACCTATCACATAAGGTCAGCTGCAATATTGGAATAAAGGGTTATAAACGAGTTATGTACGTCTATCTTGATTTTCATCACAAAATGTCAATTGATCTGTTAACAAGACATAAAACAACCGTATTATTTAATGGTTTTTCACATCATTATTTTATGGTTGTATTAAGTAAACAATTTAAAATTTTCCATTAAATATTTGAAAAATGATCCTTACAGGTCCTTAATAGGTAGATAGATACTGTGCTATTTTCGTATCTCAATAATTTAATACTTATTCTACTCATGAACCCAAAACAACTAGTGACTATAGGTTGAATTCTAGTAATAATTAACAAACAACAATTTATAATGGCTTATATTCTCCACCAATAAAGATTATCTTCCTATTATTTCTTGAATATTTTTTGATAGACTATGTCAATTTTGATGTTACATTTATTTTAAAATACATTAGCATCCTAATGCTAAATGTATAGCCAAATTCTATAAGGGCACACCACCCTTCTCTAAATTCAACCTTTTTTGTTTTTTTGTACCCGCAGATAAAAAAAATTCTTGTTATACTCTATCTTACTGCACATTATTAATTCAATTAATAAATAAAGTCATAACTGTAATTCATTTTAGTTTAATTCTTAACCCTTCCTTCAAACTGATGTGTATTAGAGTGGCTATAAATTTGTTTTTTTAAATCATGCCAGCAAACTTGTTTTCATATTTTTGTTATTAATTTGTTGTTCCCCTATTTTGTTCTGATTAATCAAAATTGAATGAGACTCGGGAGTATACTTTTTACATCTTGTCACATATTATAACATTAGTTTCAAGTTTGTAGTGTGTTTGATACATCAGGTGGTATATTAATTCAAAAGTAGTACCGTAACCGCTTCTACACATATAAAATATCTGTTTTGTACAGAACTACAATCATGTTCCGCCAGCCATCACTATCCAGTGTCAGCAACATCTTTCTGCTGCCTTTTGCTACGGATGTCTGGGTCTGCTGCTTTACCTACTGCATTTTAGTAATCTTCATATTCTCCATTGAGGTAAAAGCTATCATTGAAATCTTAATTTTAATATCTGTTGAATAAACCTCTTTTGCTCACTCAATGTAGGATGGGATAGAAGGTCATTTTAATTTAGAAGTTGTTTTAAAGAAATATTGTGACCACTGACGTGATAATTGACAAAATAAATTCTACCAATGTCCAGCAAAGGAATGTCGGTAAACTGTATTTGGGTCAAGATTCCCAGTTCTGGCCTACAAATCCAATACTGTGGTTTCCACAAATCTAAACCCAGCTTTCTCAAGCGGGGATCTCAGTTGATAAAACTGAATTCTATTACATATGCGGAAATATGGTTGCATAGTTCTTTGAAGATAAATTGAGTTCCGTTGCACATTCCTTCAGTAACGTCTAGGTTTCGCAATAACATTATGACGGTGTTCTTCTTGAGATTTAGCTCATGCGGTGGCAAATCAAGTCGTATAAAAGAAGGTGTGTGCATATCCAGGCGTAAATTCTGCCAGTCCTTTTATATACCTTGGTGGCAATTCACCAATATTGTTTGAGTTCAGGGATTCGGATGTAAATTGTAGGGTGGCGTTTGCTTGGTCTTTAATTGAATAGTAACTTTTGTGAACAATCTTATTGCATTTGGATGATTTTGTTGTTTATTTTCCCACTTTCATAATTGGAGCAAGGATAGCATGGTACAGTATTTCAAATCTTCGAACTGTCCATTTGCAATTTTGGCTCTAAATTCTTCTTTGATAATATTTCTCATCTGCTAACATGGCGACTTTATAGGTTTTAGGAATTTCTGACGATCTTCCGAACGTTGAGCAGCGATTCGTTGATGCTCCTGCTCAAGATGATCGCCCTGTTGTTCATCATATTGCTTGGCCATAAGATCTGAAATTATTTCTCTACTTTTATTCTTCGATGCGGGACTTGGCCGAGGTTCTGAGACATTTGGTAGGATGCATGAGCTGGTTGGAACTGCAACTGGCTCAGTTGTAGACGAAGTGGTAAAATTAGTTTCCTGACAATTGATTGTAGCTTCTCTCCCTTGCATATTTTCACTTCAGAGGTCATCCAAGTTTCATTCTTAATCTTAAAAGTCAACTTTGAAAACATTTAACACTAATATGTACCTATTAAACCAAACTAAAAATAACTATTCTTTAAAACTAACCAAAACACTTAATTTTGTTTACACATCAAATCAAATGATCACAATAAAAATAACCTGTATCAGCTGTTTTTATTAACCGCAGCTACAAAAAGGTATTCATGATAACATGGGCACTTTCAAGGGCTATTGGGCGGAAACTGGATTTTTCCCAGCCTTGTAACCAACTCCAATTGATTTCTCGTGGCCAAATTCCCCATATTAAACAATAAAAAATTAAAAATCCTCGGACGAAAATAAAAGTTTGTCCGTACACGCGTTTTTTTTTTATAGTATAGGATAGGATAAAATAATTATACTTTTTTACTTAAATTGTATAGTTACTTTTTTAACCTACACACTAATTTTTCACCTACTAATTTTTCTCCCACTTCATCCTTTTGGTGAAGTCTTAGATATATTTAGCCCATTAAGAAAAGTTGCATTATCTAATAAACTAAGTAACTAATAGTAAATAATATTATCCCTTTACTAATATGTACTAGGTGAACCAGTGCGAATTCGCATGAATAATAAATTAGGATATTATAGCAAATACGTTAGAAGTTGCGTCGTTGTATCGTTGGTCTTTGAGCTCGATCGTTGGCTGTATGCATTTTAAGTTCTTTTTGCTGTTCAGTAGGATTATTTTGCAGGACGGAGCTCAAAATGTAAATGAGTTCAGTGCTGCAAGAGCCATTAGCTTTGTTTAGCATTCTTTCTTGACGTCCGTGGATATTAACTTTGGCATATGTGGGATGCTCCCCTTCTGACGGTTTAAAGGTGCCAATTGAGTGATAAATTGTGTCGTGCACCTTATACATGAAAGTCCCTCCATCGTTATGTTCTTCAATTTTAGCTCGAGTGCTGACCATTGCGAGCGAAGAGTACGATCTAATGTTCTCTTTGTAGTTTCTCCTCAAATGATTTGCTTCATTAAGTAGGCTCTGGATACAATAGATTTCTCGGTATGGCGGTATCTTCACTTTTCCTTTATGGCAGCAGGATGAAAAGGCTTCGCCTCGTCCTCTTTGTTCTTCTTGAAAATGTAGCGCACCACATTTCTGACATTTTAATGCCATCTCGCCAAGTGAATGCTGCTGAATTCTTGTATTTGTCAGTGTAATTTTGTAAGTACACGTTGCCACTAACTGTTCCAGCTCCTCGTCTGGGCTCCTTACGTTTTGCATTGCTTGCCCTATGTTGACTCACCGTGTCCGACCGGCAATATTTCTTTGTCGTCGGGTCCTTGACATGTTTCAACGAAAATGTAATGTAAAACTTTTCTCCCGTCGTGTCCAATAGGTAACATTTCTTTGCCGGGTTTCTAATTTATTTTTAAAAACATGCAAACTGTTTACATTTCAAAACCAAACAAAACAGCTGGGATTTATTTTTTTTTTAAACTAACGTATTAACATCTGTTTCAGAATATAAAAATATTCAAATCAATCACAATGTTATCCTTATGGAAGGAACTTTGAGGGCAGCCCACGCCCATAAAAAGATGTATTTCGAAAATCTAAAGCCAGTTTGCACATCTACACACCTAGACGAACATTTTGGTATATAATATGGGGGGTTAAATCTTAAAACAAAAAAGCCTTATTGTTCACAAAGTTTCATGTTGCGTATTAAATATATAGATAGATGAATAACAAGGCAACTGTAAATTGACGTTTACTATGTACTTTTTTGAGTAAGAAAAATAAAATTTTTTTGGTAGTATTTCAGTTTATTTGGTCTGCTAGATAGTTGCGAGCCGCCACTTTGGTGGAGGTCCTCCAATGATGGGCAACACAGGCTTCATGGACATTGTCACCTTGGTTCTGGGCTGTGTGTGCCAGCAAGGTGAGGGCAAACATCTCACACAATCATGAAAGGCACATTTTGTAGAAAGATATTTTTGATGATCATAATAATGGTCAAAATAGTTGAAATGAAATGAAATGAAATGAAATGAAATGAAATGAAATCAACTTTATTCATACTTTGCAAACATGTGCACGAATGGCGTCATTACATTGGATCAAAATCATAATGCTTAATCCTAAAAAAGTACAAAAGATATAATCACTATTGAAAAAGTTCTTATTCTAATATATTATGTAAGAGGAAAAATTCGTTCTTTGAATACAGGGGATTGGTTAAAAAGTACATTTTTAGATTATTTTTAAATTTTGTAGTCCTTGTGTAGTCCTTTAGTTTTGTTGGAAGAGCATTGTAACATTTTATACCCATATACATTGGTTTTTTTTCAAAAAATCTTAATCTATGTGAAGGTGTGGCATAGTTATTTCTGTTTCTGGTACAATATTGATAAGAATCCCCTACCTGTGAGACATTATTTGAATTTTTGACAGTATATAGTATACATTGATAGATATAATAGCTATATACAGTCATTATGCCTAGTTCTTCAAATTTTTCCCTAACAGAATCTTGCCAATCCAAATTTAACATAATGCGTATTGCTCTTTTCTGGAGAATTAAAATTCTGTATAAATTAGCTTGTGATGTTCCTCCATAAATACTTATACCAAAGGATAAATGTGAGTGAATATGAGCAAAATAAACCAATTTTAGGGATTCAAGTTTACAAAATTTTGATAATCGATAAAGTGCAAATAGGCCTGTTGACATTCGATTTGCCACATGATCAATATGATCATTCCAGCTTAATTTACTGTCTAAATATAATCCTAGAAATTTAGTGTTCTCAACAATTTGTATATCTTCACCGGCTAATTTTAGTGCTGGGTAATCTGAATTGGTATTAGTTTTTAGATTAAAGCGTGTAAAATTAGTTTTGGAAAGATTTAGTAATAGCTGATGATCTGAAAAAAAGTTATTGATGTTCATCAAGTTATCGATGGCAGATTTTTCTATCTCATGAACAGATTTTCCGCTTACAAGAAGATTAGAATCATCGGCATATAAACAGATGGTATTCATTGTTGAATTTGAAATAACATTGGGTAATCCATTGATATATGTAAGAAATAGTAGAGGACCCAAAATAGAACCCTGTGGTACACCATGTTTAATTGTTCTCAACTGCGATCTTGTTTTAACCATCTGGTTATGATTGTTTAAGTGTGTAATTTCTACGAACTGTTTCCTATTATTCCTAGTTGTTCCTAGTTGATTCCTAGTTGTTCAGCCATCGGTACAATAGGCTTTGGCATCATCAAACCAAAACAGTGTACTCTTATAGAAAATACAACATAAATTTACTTAAAATGTTTTGATAATCTTCACATTAAAATACACACCCTTGTGTGTTGTCTTGCACAACAGGTTCACATATAATCCCAGAGAAGATGAGTGGCCGAGTGACGTTGTTCTTCCTCTCCCTTACTTCCTTATTCTTCTTCACCTCGTACTCGGCCAACATAGTGGCTCTGCTCCAGTCTCCTAGCTCAGCACTGGCCACCCTCACTGACCTAGTCAACAGTCCTCTCTTCATTGGCATTCAGGATCTCCAATACAACCGGATTTATTTCAAGGTGCGACAAACTTTGTTTACTGAGGCCGTTATTTATGCCTCTTGAATTGGCGTCACATTTTACTTTGTAAAATTACCAAGATAGACCAGATACAATCTTTCTATATTAAACATTTTGCTTTTAACACAATTGACAGGTTTATGTATGAAATTGACATTTCATATTCAATAATCAGGTTTATGAAATTCATTATCTCCTAACAGAAACACAGTTCTACATCTTAAGTAAATAGTATTGAAACAATAATAATGGAGTTAAAAATTGATTATATTTAGCAACTAGCCAACTACTTACCTATTCTAGAAACAAACAAAAAATAGGCTATTAAAGTTACAGTAACTTTTGAAATCTTGAAATCTTAAAATAAATTTGAATGCTCAATATTATAACCAAATACTGTTAAGACTTAATAATAGTCATGACAGTTTTTGAGAACAGAGTATTGTAATACGGTAATATTAATTTTTAAATTGTATTCAGGGTGGTTTTATAGCAAAATATTTTTTAGGAAAGCAATGATCCTGCTACTCGCATGCTGTATGAGAAGAAAGTGAAACCTTTTGGACAAACTGCTTATTATAAACCTGAAGAGGGGATCCGGAAAGTCAGAAAAGATTTATTTGCTTTCAATGTAAGTTAATTATTCAATTACCGGTAATAGAAATTTACTCATTTATTTTTAACATCTCATTGAACATTTTTAGCTTGTAATCATACTCGTAATATTCTTAGTTTTAAAGTTAGAGTACACATAAAACTTGTTAGATTTGTGAAAAATAAGCTAACCTGAAACATTCCTTAGTTTTTATTATCACAGATTTTGTTGTATTGCCCTCTCCTGATATTGGACCTGTTGTGCGCACCGTTTGAAGTATTTTGTCAAATATTTACCATAGGCAAAAGAATATATGTATAATTCACTTACCACACAACTGCTGTGTATTAAATTTTGTTTCCAAGTTATATCACACTTATTTTTTTAGATAGGACAATAATGTGACAATAACAGATCTTGTTCTTGTAATTTAACAAGCTGACATTTCTGGAATATCTCCTGAGTGGAGGTAAATGTCAGACCAAGGCCTTCTAGAAAAACAGGCCATGCTGCAGCGCGTGCAGCGCTACACTACGTCACAGTGGTGGATAGTTGTACTGAAATCTTACCTTTAAAATCTGACAAACAGCCAGTTTATTTACCTAAAACATATGGAATTTGGCAGTGAATCTATCAATGAATCTATCCACTAATGTGACGGAATCGCTGATCCTGCAGCATGGCCTTTTTTTTCTAGTAGGGACTTGCTCAGACAGGGCTACCAACCTGATCAGCTGATTAGGGACTGGTGCATGTACAATAATGTGTAGACAAAAGAATTAAAAGACTGACAAAGGGAGGTTCCGCGACGTGCTGCTAGAGCGTGTTCAGTGCTCGTCGATTCGCTGCCGTTGTTGACTCACCATCTGCTAACAGCACTACCACCCTTACCCCACTTTTCAATATGGGTAAAGTAAAAAAAATTCTGAATTCCCGTAATTTTAATGGAAAAGCCAATTTTTTTAAAAATCCCCGGTCATTTTTAAAACACAGAAAAATAACAGAACAAAGTCCTACTCTTTGGATTCCGGGGAATTCTCCAGAAGTTGGCAACCCTGGCTCCAACTACCAACTTGTCATGGCAATGCTCAGTAGTGCTTGACGTTGCAGCGGTGTGCGCCGAAACTACACGGCACTCCTAGCGGTGGATGCCAGAATATATTCTATATATATATATAGATATATATATAACCACAGCATTGCTTTCGGTCTATATTTAATCCTTTTGTCTTTAATAATGTAGGCTTTAAGAACTTACCATTCTTTTTCATGAAAAATGGCCTCTGGAACGTATGAATTAACAGTGGTTTAAATTACCTAGTTGCTGTCCAAAACGATCCTTTGTAGTGTACTAATAATACAGCTGTTTCGTGCTTCACCTGATGATGTGCTCCATCGGAAGCACTAAACAGCTGTAGTCTTTGTAAACTACAAAGGATTGTTTTGTACAGTAACCAGATAATATAAACCACTATAGGCTATTACCATTCTATTGTCCCCCACTGGTTTGGCCAAACTCAAACTTATGTTTATGTGTGTTAAGGTGGAGACTAACCTGGGCTACAAGATGATAAGTGAGACATTTCTGGAGACAGAGAAATGTGCCTTGAGTGAACTTCAGCTGTTTCCCATGCCAATGTTGGCAATACCTCTCACAAAACGTTCAGGCTATCGCGAGCTATTCGCTCAAAAGTTTGTATTTCCTGTATTTCATTACAAATTAAATCTAGAACACAATAGAACATTAAATGTCGGCTTAATGAGAAAAAACAGGTTATTTGAAAACAATTATTGTAGACAATAATTAAAAATTTGACCATGTTTTGTCTTCTAAATTGATAAAGAGTAATAATAATAATAGGTTAAATACCTTATTTACGTCTTCAATCCAAGTAAATGCAGAAACAAAATTTCTGTATTTAATTACTATAATTACACTATAATTACTTGGATTGAAGACGTAAATAAGGTATTTAACCTATTATTATTATTAAAATTTGACACAGTTAGAGGTAGCTTTCCTCCTGAAATACCAAGGGCGGTCCTAGACATATATTTGGGGGGGGGGCCTGGGGGTGATGGAATATCCCCCAGCAAAGAAGGGGGGTCCGGGGGTCCTCCCCCTGGAAAAATTTGGAAATAACGTGCTAAAATTAGTGGTTAGCTATTTTCAGGACCTAGTTTAATGTGTTCAAGCTTCCCAGTTTATTTTTTAAAGGTCAAAAAATGTAAAAAAATAAACTTGTATAACGTCATGTTTTTTTATTATTGAGACTTGTGGTAAAGGAATACCGCAAAGTACACTACCCAACTAACGTTGCCGTCGGCGTCCCGTCACTGCTACCGCCTGAAGAGTTGGTTCTCAGTGTTCTAATTTTTTTCTACGCCAGTGGCATTTTACAAGGGGTCATCGATAGAATTAAGTTTTTGTGCAACGTTTTTGTGGTTGTGCCCAATAGCTCAGTGGTTGTGCCGGGAATTAAATCCGTCCCTTCCGCATCTAAGTCTGAGACACTACCATTTTGTTGTTGTATCGTGGCTAGCAACATACCAATTGGGTTGTGCTATTCTTCAATATGATATCAGGTGCTCTAAATATGAATGATATTTAATATTGAAAGTTTTAAAATTTTCTACGGTAATCATCAAATTACATTACTGTAATAACAAATTCCAGTCGCTGGACTCAGATAAATTAATAGGTATTCAACTACCTTTCAAGCTTTGACTATTGATACAACTTCTTTCTTGATCCAATACCCAATTCAAGGTTCAAGTGTTCAACAATCTAGGTTAAAATGAATGATAACATTAAATGCTGAAAAATTAAATAAGAAGAAGAGTGCGGCGAACGTCGAACGCCAGAATCGAACACTGCCGTTGCCGTATATGGCTGAAAGCGTCCATCGTCTGCTGATCTTCCCTACTTTTCATAACGTACAAGAAATAGTCAGACTCGAACGATCCCGAGGTTTGGGTTAGAGTTTGTAATTAGTCCATTCGTTCTCCACAAGTGTAAAGACTACAATGAATTTCAATTTGGTAGAACGATTTACAATAACAATTATTAAAGTTCTCCTGGTATAATATTTTATCTATATATTAAATATTTGGGGGAGGGGGGTCCAGACCCCCCCCTGGGTCCGACCTTGTAAAATACATCAATGCATTCATATTTTTTATTCACTAAAAGTTAAAACCAACTAACAACTTTTACTGCATAGTCTCGGGGTTTCATATATTTGTAAAAATATTGATGAAAGTCTTTAAAAAATATAAATAAGGCGTGGGTGTTTAGTAAGAGTTTGTTTAAAAGTCAAAACAAGTTTACTGGCTTGACTGAAGGGTGACAATTTATTCACTGATTAAGCTATAGGCAAGGATGGGTGGAAAATGGATGTGTTGTTAATCTGTTAGGCATCAGGTCTCTTCCTATCAATTAAATAAAACAATTGAAATAAATACTGTTACAAATAAAGTAATATGGTTGTAACAAGTAGCATTCATCAGTGAATAAAATTAGTAATTAAGTTAATTTTAGTTAGCAACAAGACCAGAGTTTTGAATAGTTGTAATGCAAAGTACATTTTAAATCTTCCTGGCATTAATAGACACAAAACAATATTAAGACCAATGTCTCTATTACCTTTCAACAGAGTCTCATGCTTTTATAAACAACATTTAAACTATTTAGAAGTAATCTAAATTTAGTTGTTGATTTATTTCTGTTGTTAATAGATACATTATACCTTTTGAAAAAATTTGCCTTTTGAGCCAGCAAAACTGTAGCTCTAATGGATTCAAAAATGGATTAGAAATGCTTAGTTAATCTTAACAACTCATGGTAAAAAAGATAATAATGTAACTTAAATCAGCTTTAGTCTTGCAAATGAACACTAAAGCTTCTGTTGGTAGAGTGCGTTGGCAGCGTGAGACTGGTATCCTACATCGGCATGGCAAGCTGTGGCTGCCTCAGCGACCTCAGTGTGAAGATGTGCGAGGAGGTACAGGCTTTGTCAGTGTAGGACTCTAAATCAACTTTAGTCTTGCAAATGAACACTAAAGCTTCTGTTGGTAGAGTGCGTTGGCAGCGTGAGACTGGTATCCTACATCGGCATGGCAAGCTGTGGCTGCCTCAGCGACCTCAGTGTGAAGATGTGCGAGGAGGTACAGGCTTTGTCAGTGTGGGACTCAAGGAGTTCCTACCTGCTCTCAAAGTACTCTCCTACGGCTTGACCTTGGCCTTTGTGGTGATGATTCTTGAGATACTTTATCACTACAGGTAGGACTATGGACCTTTTAATGTTCAAAAGTTTTTTGTAATTTATGTAATTTTCCCATAAAACCCCATAAAATAACAGAAAACAGCCCGACCAACTTGAATTCAAATTTAGTATGTTATGGTCCTTATGATACTAAATAAAATGCTACAACCCCCATTGCTGTAAAAATTACATTAAAGGTTATTGCAGCTTTTGTCATTTTCCCCATAAAAAATCATAGTTACTCCCACCGCTTACCCATTAAAAAGGTTGTTGACTAGCTAATGGTAGAGAGTATGTGTCAGTTTGCTGATACCATTTATTAAATACATTTTCTTACAGAGTTGAAGATAAATTATGAATGAGGAAAATATGAATAAAGCAGTGTTTGGTTTTGTGACGGAAGTACTGTAATTAACTTTATTAAATTTAAGGAATACATTTTGACAATGCATAAAGTATTATTAACATAGCTTAATTATTACAATGTACATAATTTTACAAACATACAGGATGTGTTTGGTTTAAGACTTTATTAATATTTTTACACTCTAAATCTTATTTTCACTAAAAATATACATTTTCACCACACTATGATTTTTTGAGCTGTTTTACATACGTTAATTTGTGGCTGAAAGCTACGTTTTGCTGGCCATGCCAGCTGTCATCGTCATTTGGGGACCGAGCAGGTTTTTACATCCCAAGGGCCGCAAAATCAGCTGCCTTCTTACTTTCTCGTACTTTCTTGAAAATTTTTTTTTTTAACTTGATTTAATTTTCAATCTGTTCAAGTTGAACAATAAGCAAATGATATAAATAGTAATACAAAAATAACTTGAAGAACATGAGCTAGTGATTGACCACTGTCAACACTAGCTAACAAAGAGAATTTTGATAACACTTAGCCGAATCTGAATGGTAGGTCCAATATCGTATGTCGCTTCAGTCTGTAAATGGTGTTGTGATTGTCCAATAAATTAAGTGCAAGATGATTTGAATGATTTTCCAATTTTATAATGTATTTTTGAATGCATATTAAATACACAATCAGTATCCATAGCATTGCAATAGAATTGTTTTATTGTCACCGCTGCCTAGCAACAATTTATTATTATTTTTTCTGATTCCTCAAATTATTTCTTCACATAACCTCAAAGTTGTAGTTGTGTTGACTGTTAGTGAACAATATTATCGTGTTAAATAGTGATAATAGGATATAGTGTGGTGAAAAATAGCGTTCAGACCGAAATGGTTTTGCAGCTCTCGATCGTTTTAGTTCTCGACTTCGTCTTGAATTAAAAAAACTATCTCGAGCTAGCAAAACCTCATTTTTGGCCCAAGGTACGAAATATACTATTAAAATGGTTTAAAGTGTTGGAAGATGTTTTCATTTTGCGTAATATAAAAACGTATCTTTTGTTTCAGAAAGAAGATTTTGCTAGCAGGAAAGGTTTAGTAAACTAACATGGTGTAAGAAGCATAACTCTATTGTTACACCTGTGTAGTTCTCATTGTAATCATAGTTCACACAATTAATAAAAATAATTAATGCTTAGTAGATAGAAATTAGTAATACGATCCTGTTTGGAAAGAATGGTAAAAATTTTGCAGTAGCCTATGCATTTCATAATAAAATATGTTTTACTTTTGTGTCCATCATAAGACTCTCATTTGACTATTAGTTGAATTAGAATAAAAATGTAAGCATTTAATAAACACTATTTGTTTAAAAGAAACAATTTGGTTGCTTATTATACATCCCTGGTTTGTATAAAATCAGTAGAAAACCCCGTGGTCTCCAATTTTCTGCCAATAAACAAACAATATTGTAGATTGTATAAACGGAGTGTCACACAATTCTCTGGTAAGGCAAGGTACAAAGGAAATGTGTTTACTCTGTGGAAGTCAACTTTATTGTATAAAGTGAATGGGATATAAGGCAATATCAGAGGGGGAGGGGACCAAACAAGTAAGCGCTTCTGGTTACCCTCCCCCCTCCAACCACCAATGCTCTCTGTATTCAAATATTCATAAGTGAGTCATGCCTTTAAAAAATGTTTACCAATAACGTAATAATCTAATAAAATCTATTTGATTAATTACAGTACATGCAGTACTTCCTTCATACTGCTCAATTAAGCAACAGTTGCTTATGGCTTGAAATGTCACAGTATCGCACTAGAAAAAATCTGCAAAGAGATCTTAACTATAAACATTGCTGTTGGATTGTAAATTTGGTTGTAAACAAATGGGTTGAGCCAACTTACATGTAAAAATACTCCCGAAGCAGCAGACCTGCCGACTGAGCAAATTTCCATTTGCCTGGATTGATTTTCAATTAATCTATCAAATTAACATTTATGTTTAACAAGTACCTAGGTTAGCTGCTGCAGGGAAACTGATAAAGTGTGTTTTTTATTAAATTAATATCAATAGTTTAGTATGAAATAAATAAATACGCCAAGTTCAATCAAAATATACAGGGTGTTCATTTGAAAACTTTCCATATCTGTTGTGTGCAAAGGTAAGGCTTTTAACACTTGTTTGTTCTCATTTCCCCCTAATTTGGACATGCCAAATCCAATAAAATTATTTTCAATTTTGAAAAATGCCCCAAAAGGGCCCAATTTGGGGAGTAGGGGTGCTTTTTGAGAAATTTTCAAATGTAAACATGGGTTGTGTGATACGTCAATTTAAAGGTCTAATCACCCCGATCATTTTGATGCAAAAAAAGTTTAATTATCTTTAACCGTATTTACAGGGTGGGTCAAAACGTTTTAAAAAAGGACTTTGAAGTTAAGTACCGTATTTCCCTAACTATTGAACGGAACAGCACCAAATTTCTTTCCAAGCTTATTCTTGAGCTACTCTTTAAGATAACTTGTAGTAAGGGCATTTTCCAAGTTATTTTCTAATTTTTAAAAAATCTCAAATTTTAAGAATAAAAGAAAGCTGAAAACTCAAAATTCTTAAATATCAAGGTATAACAAATTTCATACCACGTGAAAGGTCCTTTTTTAACAAACATTTTACGTATTTATGTTTTCTTTCTATCTCTTACCGTTTAAAAATTGCAGTAGAAAAACATAATTTTCCATTGTAAAATTATAACTAGTTTTCTAATAAAACACATTGCACAACGAAAATTAACAGAAATCAACAAAAAACAACAAATTAACAGAAATTAACAGAAATCGTAATTGCATTCAACGATGTAGTAGGATTCATAACAAATTGATCGACTACTTTTACGTGTGTCAGAATTCATCTTGGACCCTTCATCCTGTTCTTTTCTCATTGGTAACTGAGCCAGTTTCAGAAAACTTCCTAACTAAATCATTTACAGCCATATGACTCAAGGTTATACCTGGATATCTATTGTTAAACACTTTGCAGTTTTCCTAGAACACTTTATTATGACCAATAAGTAAAATAAAGTCTATTTTTTTATATTTTTAATATTTTTATATTTTAAGTATATTTTTTTTTGCTATTAAAAAAAAAAATTAGTTCCGGGGAGGGAGGGGGGGAATATCTCACGAATTTATGAACCGATTTTCAATTTTTTTTCATCAAACATTTTCTTTTTTCATGCTCTTTTATTTGATATGTCACAAGGGGTACCTTGCTATTTAAAAAAATTAAGTTGGTGCCGGGGGGTGAATGGGGGGAATGTGAATGTAACTTTGAATTCAAAAACATTGGGCCCCCTACTTCAATAGATGATTCCCGCAAACTGCATATTTCTATCTATTGCGGTTTTTACATAAATAAAGATGCAAGTTTTTAAAAAAACACCCTGTATATAGATAGATATATAATATACATATATAAAAATTTTAACGAATGGTGTTTTTGGCATCAAAATGAAAAATAAATCGGTCCCGGGCATAGGTCTCATGGTGGAAATACATATTTACTTCCACCATGATAGGTCTTACCATGAGACCTACGGTAATAACTACTTCCCTAGTTAGCTAATAATGTAAATCGCCATCTGTGTGATTAAATTTTTAAACGCTGATTTAAAAATGTATTTCAAATATTCAATTTTGTAACATATCTATTCATTTAAATGTACATGGTATACAATGAAAAGCATCAATACGATTCTAAAACTAATATTACAATGAAAACAATAAATAACATAGAGGGTAAAACACATAAAAACAGAACATAAAAAGCAACTCTATCATTGAAGTTTTCTTTATCTAAATTACTTGAGGGAGGTGGAGAATTCTTCAATAGAACAAATAGTCCAGGAAATATAGATTTTGACTAGGGAAAAATTAAAGTCCGGATTTTTTTTCATGGATGGCTTTACTTTAGTCTAATGAACAAAAATGTAGAGTTCCTCAATTATTGTGTGTGCGGGAATTTCACAATCTTCGTTAAATGTTCTAACGGCATATAGCAAATTTCTCTTACAGTAAATCAGATATTACTCACGTAAAAATGGTCTGATTCTGATGAAATTTGGTACAAACCATTAATGTAGCATATCAGACTTAAAGGTTGAAAACCAGCCAGATCGCTTAATCTGAAGGGGTGTTTTGGGGGGATTTTGTACCCCAAAAATGGGGGTTTCAAGTATTATACATTTAAATTTTGAAAGATTCAAATTTTAGCTTTTACCATTGGATACAGCTTAAAAAATAAAATAATATGTATTTTGATCATTTCTCTATGCCAATCGGTTACCGAGATATTGGAAGTGCTAAAGACAGTACGCTGTCTAATGTTATTCTTATGGAGGAATAAAAAAGTTGTACACCACGCTTATTTGTGAACGTATACTGATGGAACTTGGTATACAGCTTCATCTCGTTGTGGTCTTTTGATATTTTCTCCGAAAACATTTTTTTGTCAAATGCTCCTGTAGCAGCAAATCTGCGTACTCAGCCCCCATGTTATTCTTATGGAGAATAATTCATATGCTATTCAGTACACATACATAATATTTATATTTCTTGTTTATGAATGCATTTTAATGAAACTTTAATGGTTATATGTGCTAATATACAGAGTGTTTCACGGGAACCCTGTCAAGCTTCGGGAAATGGTTCCTTGGATCAAAACTAGAAAAACATGTCCTAAAAGCATATGTCCTAAACTCCCTCGTTTTCTATTTATACGTAAAAACAGGTTTTTTAGGTTATCAGTGAATCTGTCTTTACCTCTATATTGAACAATTGACAAGATATTTTGATAAAATTTGCATTGATAGAGAGAATATTAAATTTCAAAGAGATTTCATTACTATTTTGCTCAAACATGTTGGTTGTGACTAATAAAAATAAGTAAAAAAATGTTAAAAAAATCTTGATTAAAAATTAATTTTTGTTTTTGACAGCTCTTCATGTAGTAACCATTCAAGCTTTTGGCTTGCAACTTTACTAAAAGTTGTAGAATTTAACGGAGGCCAAAATTTTAGGCCACTATGCAACACTTCTCAACTAGTAGAACCCATATACTAACTTTTATTAGGATGTGAAAAAAATAAGCTAAATATAAAATTTTCTTTAATATGTTTAATTTAAATAATTGTTGATATTTTACAAGATTTTAGATGTGGAAAAAGATTATCTTAATAAAAGGTATAGGCCTACATAAATTCCCATTTCCTAGTTCTGTTAAATTCTACAAATTTTGGTAAAGTTGCAAGCCAAAAGGTTGAATGGTTACTACATGAAGAGCTGTCAAAATAAAAAAAAATTTAATCACGATTTGTTCGAAAATATTTTATTTTTAAGCTTTTTTTGGTCGAAGAGTTTTTATTGATCACAACCAACATGTTTGACCAAAGTAGTAATGAAATCTCTTTGAAATTTAATATTCTCTATATCAATGCAAGTTTTATCAAAATATCTTGTCAATTTTTCAATCTAGAGGGCAAAATGTTCTAGAGATACACTAAAAACCTAAAAAAAACTTTTTTTACGTATAACTAGAAAAAAAGTGAGCTTAGGACATATGCTTATAGGATATTTTTTCCCGTTTCGACAACTATAACCATTTCCTAAAGTTTGTCAGCGTTCCCGTGAAACACACCGTATAATAATACCCCCGCCGCAGCAAACCTGCAGACTTAGCGAATTTCCATTTGCCACATTGGATTTACACTAAAATGTCTCCTTAAATATATCACATTTATTCCCTATTTAAATAGAATTAGTTTAACAAGTTTAAGGTTTGCTGCAAAAGGGAGGGTAAAAAAGTGTTTAAAAAAAATGTTAATAGGTACTATAGTTTAGTAAGAAATTAATGTATTTTCCAAATTTGATCAAAATATGTTCATAAATAAGCAAACTTCAACAGTTGACTTATTCTCCCTAAGAATAAAATGGGAATTTTAAAATTACAATTTTTTTGAATTTTCTCCGTAACCCTTAGGTGCATAATAATGCTTCAACATACTAAATTATTTGTTTCTTTAAGCTCTACATAATGGTTTGGAAAGTAATTGTGAAATTTTGTGTTTTTAGGGTCAAAAATGGGAAAAACCTATTTTTATCCCATAAAACCCCCATAAACTCCCGTTCCCATAGTCCGATCATGCTGGTTCGCGAACTCATTCAAGTTTATCCTGCTTTACACCTTTAA